CTACTGCAGCAACAACACCTAAAGCCAGTATAAACCCCAAAAAAAGCTGCAGTAAGAATAATCACTAAATCCCATCCCTGGCAACACCCCCCCCCCCCACTCTTCATAGATCTAAACTTACTCCCCGTTAGTACATCCACACTTACTGCTGTGCAATTACATCTACAGGACCTTAAACTCCAAATAAACCTTGACCTAAACGCTTTCTTGATAGTTGTGACAGAACCCACAGGCATAACACCAGACACAAACATCTCTACGACATTCCCCGTGTCCCACTAAAACCCTTTTCAAAATTCAATGTATGTCAAAGGCCCTAAAATCTGGAACACCCTACCTGAGAACTCTAGAACTGCAGACACATTCATCACCCTTTAAAACTACCATTAGAAAACATCTTATCTCCCTGATAAACCCCATCAACTAACACACGATACCACCTGGTGGGTCACACTTACACTCACTCACCCATTTGACCATAAACAGAAATATTAATCTCAATCTTAAAATAATGAATCCTATGATACTCCAGTACTGAAACTATGTACTGTGCCAAAACAAAAGCATTCACATTGCTAAACTCACAAACTAGTATTTAGTCACTTAGCCATAATACCAACTTACCTCATACTAATTTGTAATATTTTAAAATAAAGAATTAAACTAAGTCTGCCCGAAATGCCTAGCCATGCTAGGCGTTCTAGTGGTACACTCTGTAATCATTATTTAACTACATGTAAACCACACAACAACCAAATTCTGTAAATTCAACATTGTGATCTTTATAGAGAATAAACTTTGAATTGAATTGAATGGAAATAAGTCACTTAGACTTTTTTGGGGGGTCATCCTAGGTAATTTACACAAGTTAATGATAATCTTTTATTCTACAAGTACAAGTACAAGGTATACAGGCCTAGCTGACACAGTGACATATTACTACAGTATATAAAAAGCCTCTGGTTATGCAGAACATTTTGGGCAAATTAGGTCAATTTTGTCCCCAGGATGCGACTCACATCAGTCGACTAACACCAGGTACCTTTTTTACTATAGTGAACATGGACAGCAGGTACCTTTAAGGAAATCATCTGATGTTTCCACCCTTACCAAACAACCCTTGAACCTTAGTGTGTGAGCTGATTGTTCTAGCAAATAAGCTATGAGACATATGTTACTAGGTATGATCATTGTACATGTGTACCTGTACCAAAATTGACTTACTTTTAGCTACTAGTCCATCACCTCGCCTCGCCTTGGTTTTTCTTTGCCTTAATTATTGTTATTGTAATCATGGAAAAGTGCTAAACCAATAGTTCATACAGTGCCTGAACATATCATTTATTCAATACTGTCTTGCCCAAAACCCTTTCTGACATTGTTCAATGGTCCCTTAAACGCAATATCCTCACCTTTCCTCAAGAGGGCTTGTGCGCATTCCCAGTTCAGAATCCCTTTTGATTGCTTGTTCCGTTTTTCAGAAGCCCATAGGGGTTCAATTATTCCCCCTTTCTAAGCCCTTTCAGATAGTGCTACCTTCAATGCAGTCCATTTTTCTTGGCACTCTTGTTAAATGATTTGGACTTTCCCCTTTTGTATGTTCGCCCTCTTCATTGCCTCCTTACCATTAGCATTCTTCTCCATCTCACACATGGCCCAACCACTAAAACCCAATTTTTCCTTCTATTATATTAATTGGAAGCACTAAATCCGTATCCCCGTTGCTCAATCAACAAATGCCTCACTCACACACTGAGTCCAGGGTTGATTTCCCGGTTTTGGTTGGAAATATTAGGATGTGTTTCCTTAACCCTTGACTGTTTTCAGGCCCCTCTCTGAAAACTGTCATTCTATGTCGCTCAATTTTTGAAAAAAAAAAAAATTTTTTTTCTTTGGAAATGATTAGAGAATCTTTTCCGTGGTTAATGGGCACCAAAAGTTCGAAATTTGGTCCCAAAATCTGGAATTAAAGGTCCCGCGAAGTTTCGGTCTCGGCGAAAATATGGTTCGGCGATTTCGCCGACTTTGAGCCCAATTTTCAGCCAATTCCATTGTTCCAGTGACCCAAAACCATAGCTATTTCTTTTTTGAACCCCCATTTTTATCTATCAGCTGATACAAGAAACCTCCCCTTTCAAATTTGGCTACCCAAAATGGTGGTCAGAATTTTGGCAATTTGGCCAAATTCACGCAAAATAAAAAAAGATGCCAATTTCAAAATAGGGTCCAGAATAAACAAGGTAGACATTCGTGGCACTAAAATTAAATATGCTCTGTCATTAGTCACATCTCTAGGCCCCTCTTATATTATTTTTGCTTTCTATTTTGATTTTTTATTTATACAAAAAAATACAAAATTTACTGTTATGCAGACGACTGCATTATTGTAAAAATGGTATAAATAATATCAGTGCACTAGTGAAAGAATATTAGACTCCCTAGTTGACGTGTATTGGACGTGTGGTGTGATTTTATTTTACTCTTCAACATTGGTAAAAATCGAACATTTTCGCTACTTTGAGCTTAGTTTCAAGGTCGTTTTCATCGTAAAAGTAATGAAAATCATCTCTATTTCTGTAATATGTTTTCCATTTTATCACCTAAGACCATGAAAACGCGAATACAACGATAAATACTATACGAAAGTACACCTCAAAGTCGGCGTTTTATTCCAAAAAAACGATCAGAGTTTTTTTTTTCTCATTACGCAATGTGTGCTGCAGGATTTTTTTTATGTGGTGCACACTGACCACACAGACCCATTCTCTCACATGTGGGCCTACCAGCTTTCTCCCACTTGATTTGAAGCCGCTAGAATTATTGAGTATATATACGTCAGAAACATTGGCTCGTAAGACGTATTTATACGTCAAAAACAGTCAAAGGGTTAAGGCACCTGTTGTCCAGTGTTCACCCATCAGTAAAATGCATACCTGGATGTTAGTCGACTGGTGTGGGTTGCATCCTGGGTCAAAATTGACCTAATTTGCCCAAAATCCTCTGCATAACAAGGGGCTTTCTACACAGTAGTATATCATATGTCAGCTAGGCCTGTATACCTTCCACATGAACTTGTATTATTATTATTATATGGGTCAAATCATGCCTGGGCAATGGATTAATTAATCATAGGAGAGCGCTAAACCCGCAAGATTATAGTGCATGTGGGGGGGGGGAGATAGAAGGTATTCAGACTCAATTCAGGGAACTGGAGCACAGATCCAATTCCCTAGATCAAGAGCCCCTCACCAGCATCAAGGAACCTCCCTTGAGGGGCCTGGGAAATGGAATATGATCACATTTGCTCCAACAAAATGTTTAGTAGTTCCAACTCATTAGATCAAGAGGTCATCAGCAACACTGAGACACTCCTTTTTCTCTTATCATATTTATGGGGAACATTAAACCCATTAGGGTCATGCAGCCCTGCATGACTAAGAATGGGAAGATGGGGAAAAGAGAGTTAGTGTATTATAATAAACATGTGAACACTACACCAGATAGGGTCATACATGATCTGGGGGAATAGGAAGCATTCAGGTTTGATCAAAGGAAATTACTAGTCAGAACTCAACACTAAACCCACAAGGGCATACAGCACTACTCCAAGAAAGGAAAGAGCAGGTTCAATTACATGGATCAAGAGCTCATTTGCTTCAAGGAACATCCCTTGAAGGACACAGGGTAGTTGAGGGAAAAATATCAGCAGAGAAGAAAGAGGCTAATTAGGAAATTATGACATTCATGGAGGAGCACTAAACCCATAGGGGTTATGTAACAGTTGGGAGAATGGGTGCAATCCAAGGAAAGGGAAATTACATCCAATTCCTTGGATCAAGAGACCCTCACTGGCATCAAAGAAACTCTTGATAGAAGCCAACCTATCAAGCAAACCACTTCAGTTATCGAAGATAAGTTTCGTCACTGTGTTGGGGTGCCACTGTTGTGCCCCTCACCCATGAACAGAGGAATGCCCTTACTTTAAAACTAGGAAGGCCTTGCTATACAAGTTGTCTATGAAAGTCTTCCACACAATCCTCATCGGGTTGTATTTACGTATCGTCACATTCATGGAGCGGGTACTATAACATTAAAGAGTCTTTTATTTTATTTCAGCAGGGGAAGCACTAAACCTGGGTAATGGGAAGCATTCCGGTTTAAGGAAAAAAAAAAGGGCAAGTTTCTTGATCAAGAGCCCTTCACCAGCATCAAGGCACCTCCCTGGAGAGGAAAGTGTTATATAGCACTTGAGAAAATAAAAGGAAAGCAGCTTTGATCCAAGGAATTATTATAATAAAAAAAAAGAAGCACTAAACCTAAAAGGGTCATACAGCACTTATCCAAGGAAAGACATCCAATTCCTTGGAACGAGAGCCTCTTACCAACATCAAGGCAGCATCTTTGAGGGAGCTCAAGAGGGTTGTAGCAGACTGTACATTTAAAGAAAGTGCTAATCTTGTGAGGGACAGACACAGACAGCAGGAAGTGTTTCAGACTACGGAACAATGCTCTTCTCCAGACTGAGGGACTGACCACCTCAAAACTTTAAGGGTGATGGACTGATTACATCGTCTTCAAGTCTCTTCTGCTTCTATCAACTTTTCTGTACTCGACTGAAGAAGCCTACTGTGTAGGCGAAACGTTTCGAAATAAAGATACCTAACTGTTGCATATGTGTCTTACCTAACAACACAGGAAGTGTCTCATCACAGATTAAGTTGGATGTTGCTATGCCATCAGTCATGGAGAAGCATGAAACCCACAGGGGCCATACAGAGTTTGAGACTTAGAGGTAATCATGTCTGGTCAAAGGGAAAGGGGGTAGCTCCAATTCTTAGGCTTCCTTGAAAAATTAAATTATTGTACAGTATTCAATAACGGACTGAAAGAGGGCAGGAAATGCAATTGCTTTAAAAACAAGGTACAATTTTTGTTGAACATCCGAATAGGGACACTGAACATGTCTAAGTTGCATATCATGAAAGATAAATAGTACTGTATTTACTATTAAAATATTTAATTCAAAATACTTTTTCTTTGTCCATTTTGTATTTTATTCAATAACATTCTCTTAAATTTTTACAATATACATTTTTTCTAATAAATAAACCAGCAAACAGGATTCAATTTTCACATTCCAAGAGAGATACACAAGTCATAAATAAGCCTTTTTTTTTAGGATATTGTCAGTGTCATGGGGAAATGCTAAAACTGAAGGGGGTCATACAGTGCTCCAGGAATGGAAGGAATTTCAAATTTTCAACTTCTGAAGGCATTTATTTGCATTAGTTATGAAAGGATGCAATAAAAATCTATAGCAATCTGACCACTAAATTTTTTTTCACTTTCATCACGCAATGACTAGGCAACTGGGGAAGATGGGGAGGGGGTTTAAGGCTTATTTTTTTTTAACTATAGCTGTAGCTGTGCAAAATTAAAAGGCTCATGTATATTACCAATCATGGAAACCATTTTAATCTGAGATGCTATGAAACAAATATGATGTCAGGATTCACACTTTTTCACAGTTCTGGTCACTGTGTTCTCAGAATATGATAAAACTTTAGACAAATATATATTACTTAATTACTAAATTTAAAAGGAAAAACTTTCGTTTCTCTCGTTAGTTCACCCTGCCTTGGTGGGATGCGGCTGGTGCATTGAAAAAAAATATATTAATTTCTATTTACAGCTTTATCTTATAACTAGCACATGATATACACTATACTTGTTTACACTCATGCTTGCATTTCACAGTAAAGAAAATATAATTAAATTAGGTAAAATATATTGCACTATATATATATATATATATATATATATCTGAATGTGGCTTCAATTGAATTTAAATACACTTAATTTAGAAACTAATATTATGACTACAGTCAGGCACAGTCATTCCATACACTTTAAAATCAATAATTTATTTCTTCTTCAATTTGGTTATAAGGGTATTAAGTCCTGTACCATTTAAGAGTTTCTCCAATGACTAGGTTCAACCACTAAATCACAGCCCTGGCAGTTTCCCCACAACTCTGTTGGGACACGAAGAAGTGGTGTGTGCCACAAGTGTTTTCACTAGCCACTGTGATCAACCACTCGTAACGCTGCCCCTCATCCAGGCTGTGTTCACTCACTCTTTACAATGAAGAGTACCAATTTTGTTTTTACTGTGTATTTTTTCCATAAATGCAAGAAAAAGTCACTAATAATTGAAATGAAGGTACAATTACTGGTACATTATCATCATGAGAAAACAAGCACTAAACCCATATGGGCCATATACAACTCAGTACTTTAGAAACTGGAGTGTGGAGCAAGCGTATCGTAGTTCATGGAGTACACATTGGAAAAATAATTATGACAAAGTCCCAAAATGTCAAATTTCTAGAGTATTTCAGTTAAGATGTAAACAACGTTTCCTACATATAATTTTTTCAGCAGCACAATGAAGGCATTCCTCTTTATGGAAGAATTTTAAAGGCCAGTTATTTTTCATAAACTAAACAATTAGAATACATTGCCTATGGTCATAGCGGGTTGCACAGGTTTAAGAAACGCCACTGGATTCATCAGATAAAACTAGATGGAAAAAAATAATAATGTTACTGCAAGAAAATATTTTTAAACAAATTTTCTTGTTTACTGAAATAATATAACTTAACTCCTAATGAATACACAAAGATGAGAAGAACAACTGTTTCAGAGACTTATTGAAGACTTATTGTTTGTAGCCAATGAAATAAGTGGCTGGGGTAAAAAAAAAAAAGGAAAATTAACTACTGTGAACTAAACAAATACAAAGCACAAGTAGCAAGTGCTAATCTGCAAGTGTTGAAGGGCCAAAAATGTTGCCAGATCTTTATAAGAAAAACAAGACCTAGACTGCACAAAGTTAACCAACAAGTGGTTTAAACATTGTGAATGTGGACAGGAAACACTGCAGAAAAGTAGTCCCCTTCAAGACTGCAATTCTTTTAGCCTAAATGCTGTATTTATGTGATGTAAGTGATATTATCATCATAATGGAACTGTGAATACTCCATAAACTTTCCCAGAGAAAATATCATACAATGGTGTAACTAGGCAACAGATATTGAACATCGATATATTAATAGACATGTTGATAAAACAGAGGCATAATCACATGAAGCAGCAGCAACAGCAGCAACACACTGATGTCAGTACAAGACAGCATTAGTATACAGGTTACATTACAAGCATTCACAAGTACCCATTTTTATTTGACATTTTTTTTCTTTAAGACAGTTTTTTTTTGTGTGTATGTTCCAGAAATTCAAGGAGCCTCCAAATTCCAATGTCTAGAATGACAGTGCAAAGTTGTATTCCATTATTAAATTTTCTTTATGTAATTATTATTATCATTATTACAAAAATGTGCAAAACTTTTTCACATAATGAAGAATGGAGACTGTCTTCCTACTGCTGACATTGTTAGACCACTCAGGAAATATCAGATTAATATGGTAAAACATTTTTCAACACAGTGCATCAAAATCCTCAACACTTAAAATAATGAATGATAAGCGTACACTACTGTGTCAACTAATACCTACACAAATACTGTTTGTTCAGTGGGAAAATATTTTTAATAAAGCTTGGCAGTTTATATATGCAGCAAGAAGCTCTCAAAAATTCATGACATTGATAACCCCAACAGCCATAGGAATGGAATAAGTACAAAATGAACCACAAGATAGCCAACATATGAGAGTCAAGGGGTCAATGTATTTAAAGCATGTAATAACTGAAAAGTAACAGCCACTTAACAGCCATAGATGACACTCCACCTTTTACAGCCCTAAAAGAATTTGATATTCTACAGACATCCCCTATGGATGCAAGGAGGTACCCCACCGAATTTCATAGTTTTATGGATCCAAAATTGATAAAATGGAATCCAAATGTACCTACAATTCACGAGAATCACTATTTGTTTGAGGCACATTAAGTAGGTCGACGAGTCTGTGAAACAATACGTCTTTTTGCTCCCCCCTGCTCCTCATCAGTGGATTGACTGTCCTCACAAACATGGACAATAATTCCAGGTTTATCTTCCATTGCTGGATGCAGTTCATGGGCCTCCCCTGGAAAACAAGAAATTAATGTTTACATTTGAAAGATAACTACATGTAATAATAAATTTATGTGATAAAATATAGTGTTATTATTTTAATTGTGGTATGGACTTAAAACATTCAATTAAACCTTCGACAAGTGCAATCATGGTGTAACAGCACACAAAATGCGTGATAAAGGAATAACAGGAAAAGTGGGTAGATGGATCTATAACTTCCTACAAATCGAACACAGAGTAGTAGTAAACAGAGTAAAGTCAGAGGTGGCTACAGTGAAAATCTCTCTCCCAAAAGATACAGTACTCACTCCCATCCTGTTCCTCATCCTCGTATCTGATAGACAGATATAAGCCTAGAGGGACTAGCCCCAAATCCACACACGAAAATCACTCCCTATGAAAACAAAAGACTCAGCGGGAGATGCAACATCCCCCCGATGAAAAGCAGGGCCGCCACGAGTGTCAGGGGCCCCAAGACTTTTAACTGCCTCCCAGCATACATAAGGGGAATCACCAATAGACCCCTGACTGTCTTCAAGGAGCTGGACAGGCATGTAAAGTCATACCTGACCAGCCAGGCTGTGGTTCATACGACGGTTAACATGTGGCCAGCAGTAACAGCCTGGATGATCAGGCCCTGATCCACCATGAGGCCTGGTCACAGATCAGGCTGCAGGAGCACTGACCCCCGAAATGCCCTCCAGGTATAGGTCAGCAGAAGGCACAGCATAGACATTATAATGGTTTTAGAAATGGCAAGAATGACAGCAGCTGGATTGTTTGTGGCAACAGAACAAAGGTTGCAAGACAGAGAGATGAAGGTATTCAGGTTTGATACAAAGAAATTAAAGGAAGTTCCTGTTCTTTGAAACTATAGCTTTTCACCTCAACAAAGAACCCACTTGTATATGAAACTGCTAAAGTACTTCCATATAAAATAAAGATGAGACTTTCAATCAAGCTGGTCATTCTTCAGGTATTGGAACCTTAGAAGAGGTATTCAATAGTTTTAAGTCTTCAAATTTATGTTCCAAATTGTGAATTTAGAAAATTTGTAAAATTATGTAAAATACTGACAAGAATAATTATGAGCAATAGATACTTCAGACTTGAGTATGAGAACCTTTTGGCTTGAAAGGAAAAATTCAGGAAACCAACAATGAATTTTCTTTCTGTACTGTAATTGCAACACTATGGTAACTAAAGCAACTGTTTAAAAAAATAAGTTAATGGGTTTTGGATCTAAGGATAAAGAGTTCTCCACACTAACAGCTTTAGTAAGTAAAGATGCAAATAAGGGAGCTATTCAATTTTCATTTTCAAATTAACATGCTACCACTTCAGGATACATATGACAGAGCAGACTGCTTGTATTAACCCTTTCAATGACCATTATGCAGATCTATGCATGTTATTGATACCAGAGTCCCTCAAGTAGATCTATGCTTTGAGCACAGCTCCCTCGGATAAGCCGACCTAGTTATAAGAAAATGTGTCCGTGTAGTGTACACACAGCATAAAAGAAAATGTCCTGCCTCATGTGGTGTATGGTAGTAAAAGCAAAACTGACTGGTTTAAAATAGCAACTGAGGATGGTTTTCAATAGTGGTTTCTTTGTGTCATTTGATAGAAAGGAAGATATACTACTGAAATATGGATGATTTGAATGGTTTCAGAACTGGAAGTAGCTCGAAAATGGGCTCTAAGTAGCAAAAATATTTTTGCCGATGTTCCTGAGGACAGGTTAAGAACCCTACACCCCCCTCCTGGTCTGTTTTATGGGATTTTAATAAGCCAGATTCAATTGCTGGGATGTCATAAACCATGACCAATCATTCCTGGTTATATTTCATTATATGAGAAATAGGGCAAGTCTGATTTTTTTGTGTGATGATGAATTCAAGCTGGGGACGTGATTAATGAACACAGGAACTGTCTTAGTACCTGCAATATTTAGCATTTATTTTAGACTATTTTTTAAATCGGAGTTTTTTTTAATTTTGTGTAAAACTAGCCAAATTACTGCCTTCTGTGCATTATATAGGCTTGTTTTGATAGTTGAATGAGTGGTTTCTCTTGCTCAATCAATAGAACAGAAGGATTCTAGCAAAATAACCAAAAAATTGATCAAATGGAGCAGTGGAATTACCTTACAAAAGAACTCAGGCGAAATTGCTGATGCATAAATTGCGCCAGGACCGCTAACTTTGTGCCTGCATAATTTTGTAAGAACATAAGAAAGAAGGAGCACTGCAACAGGCCTACTGACCCATGCAGAGCAGGTCCATGTCCCCCCCCAGGATTAGCCCAATGACCCACCCAATCTGGTCACCTCCACTCAAGGAAGGAGCACAGCACCAGACCCAGCAGCACAAGCTACTCGGGTCCAACTCACACAAACCCACACCCACTCATGTATCTATCTAACCTATTTTTAAAACTACACAACGTTTTAGCCTCAATAACTGTACTCGGGAGTTTGTTCCACTCATCCACAACTCTATTACCAAACCATGTGCTTTCCTATATCCTTCCTGAATCTGAATTTTTCCAACTTGAAACCATTGCTGAGAGTCCTCTCTTGGCTGAAAATTTTCAGCACGCTATTTACATCCCCTATATTTATTCCTGTTTTCCATTTATACACCTCGATCATATCCCCCCTAATTCTACGCCTTTCGAGAGAGTGCAGATTCAGGGCCCCCAGTCTATCCTCATTAAGTTGTCCATTAATTTTCACTTAAGAATAAAATTCTCTACCATTTCAGAAGAAACTTTTTTCTTCAATGTGGACACAAAGCAATAGCAATTTGGGAATCTGGACAGTGAAAGGGTTAAATGTAATAAACAGCAATTCCTGAGATTCTCTAAAATAAAAATATTTACCACATTACCTGGTACAAGGTTCACCACTGCTGAAATGAGATCATAATTGATGAGAGGTTCAGCCTCCTCAATGGGTTCCCACCCCACTGGTGGGGATGCTGGAGGAGAGATCAGGAACTGTTTTTCACGCTTTGGGGGCTGCAGATGAGGTCCTCCTTCTCGATTACTTCCAAGAATTATTGGCTAATTGAGAGAATTGCTTTGTTATATCAGATAATTTAGCTAAAGAACAGTTCATATGACTTTCTCAAAGGAAAATGTCATGCACAAGTTCATTATCACAGTAGTATAACAGAAGACAAGACAACATGTACAAATTACTATACTGCCCTATGTACAGTACTCTGCACCTTGCATTCAGATCACAGAATATTATTTAAAAAAAAAAAAAATTTCATCAAGTTTGAAAAGATTATCATACAGTACAGTGTCTATCCTAAAAAATTCTTTAGTGCTGATGAATGTTATTTTCCTAAATGCCCACATTCCCCCCTCAATTTGGCCAAAACTTACATAAAATAAAACATCAGTCTCTGAATCAAACACTGCACAGTATTTTATTTATGATACCAAGATGAATTTGCAATCTGCTACTTGTCAGTACTTTTTATTGTGTTCTGACACTGCTATGCCCTCATTTAAAATCAAAGCTTTCATAATCAACATTTCAGTTTACCAGTGAAATATGTCTCAGAGCAACACTGATAATTCAAGTGTCAAGACTGAGAAACAGCTCACAACAGACAGTAAACAGTTCACTCTTCTAGGCAACAGATAACACCAGCCTGGAAAGAAGCTGCATAGAGTGATTTAAAAAATTTATGTCAATACAGGTACGGAGATTTTTGCTATACTGCACAGAGTGAAACCTCTGCATAACAGACTAATGGGGAGGGGGGGGGGTTGCATGTTTAAACAAAAATCTGTCTTCCTGAAATGCCTGACACAATGGACATGGTCCAATGTATGGAGAGCCTACTGGACATGCACACCACCACTAATGGACAATATCTCAATCCAACAGACTTAGTCCACTGCACCAATTATTTATCCAGCCAAATATTTTGCCTTGTACCCAAAATCAGATACATAAAGGTCCATGACATCAAGGCTTTACTGCATGTGTAGTTAGCTTATGTATGTTTTGTACAGAGTGGTCAAGAGCTGCAGAGTTAGTAAAGTTACGTACTGTCAGGGATGGTGCCAGAATGTCTATGAAAGGCAGGGGAGGGGATGGCGTAGGAGTGGCTATATGGTTGGAAAAAGTGGGACTAGAAACTATTTTGAAGCAGCATTATTACCATTTTTATTTGGGGGCTTGGGAGGTCTGAAGCTCTCCCTTCCCCAAACCTGCTCTTGGCACTACCCCTATGTACTGTACTTTCAGCTAAATTTCAGATTTATTTTTATCACATTGATTTCTTGTGTTTTGTTTGTTAATTTTTTGCATTTGATCATCTCAAATTTATCTGATGTAGATGTGTCAAGAACTATGTAGTACTGTGGAACCTCGGCTGACGAGTTCAATCCGTTCCATGACCTTGCTCGTATCCCAGTCTGCTCATATACCGAGTCAATTTTCCTTATTTAAATTAACTGAAATGCCATTAACCCGTTTCAGCGGAATTCCTGCTCTAGGAGGCAGGACAAAAACACTTTAATATGATGCTAATATCAACTCTATGGATTATTTATCTATCACAATTCATCTAATATGACATAATAAACAATATAAATAACATAAAAACCTGATACATACTATAGAATTAATAAAATACGTCATTATGTGACAAGTGGTGGCGGTCATTCCCTACCTCAAGCGATTGCCTTGTTGTGGGTTAGCGGGGGAGACCTCCTGCCATCCCCCATCCTGTCACCACACTCCCAGCTTTGTGAATACGTGTTTAGTTCCACTTTTCTCCTACAAGCTAGCTGTGTTTGTGAATTGTGTTTTGATCCTACTGACTTGTCTGAATGACTTACTGACTTGACTGACTGACTGACTGACTGGCTCGATTGACTTGACTGACTGAATAAATGACTTAGACTTTTTCACCGAAGAGAACTCTGAAACGGTGTCTAGAGCAGCTGATGCCTTACCGTCAGTTGTATAATGTACTGCATGGTAAAACAGAACAGAAATCCATTACAGAGTTTATGTACACTCCAGTACAACCATCAACTTCAGTACCAGACCCTCTACCATCTACCTCAGCCCAGTAGAGCTACAGCATAACTATCCATTCTTTTCACAATCACTGACAAACACCAGCACCCAATATCTAAGGTAAGAAATACAATTATTTCTGTTGCAGTTACAGTCTTAAGCAGTAAAAACAACATAATACATCACAACAATGAACTACAATTATATATTCACTTTCATTTTTGTATCCTGAAAAACTTGTATGGTGGGGCACCCATAAGCTGAGGTTCCACTGTATAATAATTATGTACACCGAGCTCAATTTTCGTGTGTTTCATCAAGCATTATACATTAATTACTTACCTTTATTCACTTCAAGCACATGAGGTGGTCATGTACAGTAAGACCCTCATTTTAACAGATTGATGAGAGGAGGCAGGTGCCCAATAAATGGCAATTATAGTGGATAAAGGGGATTGTTTTGCCATGATGGTAACAATTCTTTAAACAATGGATTTGTGCCCAATGTTCCTAAATCAACTGACCCCTCAGATTTTGTCCAATATTCCTGAAGTCAATTAAAACTTAAATCATGGGTTGACTGTGGTGTATTTGCTTGGCAGAAACAAGCCAAGAAATAGATTTATTTGAAGGCATAAAAAATATTTTTATCATAGTTTCCTCCATAAATCACAGAATGGGGAGAGCTTAAACCCATGGCAAACTAGTCTCAAAACTACCAGGCCAGAGTGTTCTCCAATCTTTACCTTTGATATACCTTTGATGAGTTTTGAGAGTTGCTACTCTCAGAGCTCTGCCATGGGCCAGGCTCATCTGTTGCTTACCTGGTCAACCTGGCTGTTGCTGCTGGAGGCCCACTGCCTCACAGCCATCACAGCCTGATTGATCAGGCACCCAGTGAAGATACTTGCCCAGTTTTCTCTTGAAGACTTCTACATCTGTTCCAGCCGTGTTTATGATATCTTCTGGTAAGATGTTGAATAATCTGGGGCCACAAATGTTGACCATCCTGGCCCCACCCATTCTGTTATTTGTTTGCAATCAGTGTTATTACGATTACACATGTTATTTCTATTACAGTAGGGCCCCACTTACATGCCAGGTTAGGTTCCAGGCTACTGCTGGAAAGCAGGCATCGTCGGAAAGCAGAACGCCATTTTTTCCACTAATAAATGTAAACAATTGCCAGATAACAATTTTACATTAACATATTAAACTAAAAGTACAACTAGGCATTAAGAAACAATAAAAAGTAAAATACATGCACAGTAGATTCATTATTTACCCTAAAATATCTGTAGTCTTAATGTAGGTTGAGAAGTGCAGGAAGTCAGGTGTAGGTAGACCCAGCTCCCACTCCCAAACATAACATGTATATGATATTTAAAGCTGCTCAGAGCGATAAAATACACACACAGTACACTCATTACTTACCTTAAAATATGTCTAGTCTTAATGTAGGGTGAGAGGCGAGTAGTATTTATTTGTAGGAAGTCAGGTGTAGGTACTCGGTAGGTGTAGATAGCCAGGAAACCCCCCTACACCAGCTACCTACACCAGCCCAGAGCGATATTATTAATATCGACATACCTATCTTTAGATGCCATCATAAATGAAGGGAGAAGTGATGAGAAGAAGTCATGCCGATAATTGTAAACAAAGCCAAATGCATTAAGGGGAGTGACTGGGTCAAAGGTGGACTGATACACATTTTCTCTGGTGCTGGACCAGAGAAAACAATTTTTTCCCTCCACTCAGTTAACACATCTCATATTTATGTGATATTTATTGTACTGTGGGTGTATGTATCATGTTTATATGCTATGTAATGTGTTTCTTCTATAATTTTGAAGAAAATACCATAGCTGGATTAATGAAAATGTCTATATTAATGTAAAATAAGACATTTAATGTGCCCAAGCGATTATTATGTATTAGTATTATTATTACTATGGCATCAAGACTAGAGGGACACTTAGCAATTTATATGTATACCTGCATGCCAGCACAGTGTATAAGTTTATTTAGGTACAGGTATACATGAGTATAATTATCAGAGTACGTACACAAAATACGCAATAACTTAACACTTGAAATTTTGTAAAGTTTCCAGATTTAATGGAGAGAGGTGCTCATGGAGAATGTATACAAACCAGGTGGTGCACAGTGACCGTATTACAGAATCAGGTGGGGGAGCTGTATAGCGAGTTTTGGTCATAATTTGAAATGTCCACATTAGTTAAACACCATAAGGCGAAATGCTGTAACATTGGGCCCTACTGTATATGTAGCTTTCTGGTACTGGATATGCTTGTTAGAGGTAGGTGTGGGAGGTTCATAGCTTTCGGTAGAAATTAGTCAAGAAATATAGTGTTTTTATATTTATGGTGAAATTAGTAAAACAATATATCAGCATCCTGGGTTCAAATATATTGTACATGTTTGATATCAAAATATTACACACAATTACACGATCCATCAAACTATAAACCGTATTTAAAAATATTAACTACAGATTTAGTTCGATAACCAGAACATCATAGATTGGAAGACCTAGATTCCTCTATAGTGCAGTAATTGCATTTAAACCTTTTCTTTTAGAGCTAACTAGTCATTCTCACCTGTGTGAAGTAGCACTTAATGATTTCACCACTAAACTCAGTCATGTGAAGTTTATCACGAGCTTGGGTAGCCTGCGCATGTGAAGCAAAGTTTACACGAACTCTTCTGAAGCTCTTGAAGTATTGAAATGTTACAGTCTCATCAATGTCATGAAACAGCGACTCAAAAATATCCTGCAAAAAATTAAATACTGTATAAATGTAATAAATATTCTTTAAAAATCTCAGTGTTACAATTAATGACCACAATTAATGACCACAATTAATGACTCCTAATGGCAGTGTCAATGTTGGATTGCAGTTGTTTGGCCAGGGGTCTGGATACACTAGTTGCTTGACTATTACAGTACGTACTATGCACTTTCTCCTTAATTCTTTTGCTATGGTAGAGAAACAAATGCACCTACTGTTTATATATGTAACCTTTACTGACATTGACCATGCAGTGGGTTTTATCAAATCACATACATATATGCTCGTAATTTAATAAAGCTCAGTGGATAAAACTGAATCAATAGAGATTCCCTGTAACCATATTTGTATATAATGTTGCTACCTCATACCATTACTTACCCATTCTTTTCAGAGGTACTGCACAGCAGAAAATAAGTTCCAAATTCAAACAGTGGAGAAAAATGAAAATGTATACCTGGAGAGTATACCCGGAGAGAGTTCTGGGGGTCAACGCCCCTGCAGCCCAGACTGTGACCAGGGGTCTATTGGTAATCCCCCTGATGTATGCTGGGAGACTGGGAGATCAGAACAATAAAGCTCAAGTTACAAGTTATATTGGATTCTGAGCCCAACTTACAGATGCAGAAGACAATACAGTATTTGCACATTCCCACAAACAAAACACCAAGGAATCGGTTCTTTAACCTGGACTTTGGCTGTGGAAGGTTTTATTCTTTTCTGTCACACAATGCATCTTATGTTCCTATGCAATTTAAGAATGTCAAGTAATAAGCAGTGGCATGTCCATTACACCTGCCATGGAGTGTAAGCTAAAACTCAGACATTGATAATATACAGCCTCTCCTCACTTAACGACCGAGTATCGTTCCTAAGACCACGTCAGTAAAAGAATTCATGGCTAAGCAAGGAGCATACTATAATGGTAGCGGGTTTATGTTGACCATCTATGATATTGTTTTAATGTCACCTCTGCAGCATTTATAACATTTTTAGTATATTTTTAAATGTTCATACAGTAGTGTACTGTATTATTGTAATAAACATGATAGAGAAAATCAGCTCTAATATACATTATTTAGGTATACATACTGGTCAGAGCCCCCAACGTAAGTCCGAGTCGTCAGTAAACGAGTACGTCGCTAAGTGAGGAGAGGCTGTATTAACCAGTAATGAATACTGGCATTTCCTATAAATAATATTGTTAAAATAAATATCAAATAAGCAAAGAATACATTGATGGAAGCATTTAAAATACAGAAATAACAAATAAAGGACAAAGAATAAATACTGTACATGATAATTATGCTTAAGGCATATATTAACAAGTATACTTGGAGAGGGTTTCAGGGGTCGATGCCCCCGCAACCCAGTCTGTGACCAGGCCTTGCGGTGGATCAGGGCCTGATCAACCAGGCTGTTACTGCTGGCCACATGAAAACAGACATATCAGTGAAATTCAATAGTGTAATATAATATTCTAATTAAAGTTTATTAACCCGTAAACGGTCCAAACGCATATATACGTTTTTTCAACATTTGAAAGTATGTAAAAAAAGTAGATCTTTTTGTTTTTTACATTTGAAAATGTGTAAAATTTTTTTTTTTTTTTTGCTATATTTGAAAATATGTAACAAAAACGTAGATCTATTTTTGTAGCACTACACACGTGAACGTAGATCTACTTGGACCATTTACGGGTTAATACACACAAAAAAAAAAAAATTTAAATCCTATGGGAGTTAATAAAATCTTTAAATTAGCGATTTAACACAGGCTCAGTTTAACACTATAATTATGTGAAAATCTATAATATAGCTACAATAAAAAAGCTATATAGAAAGTTGTACAGCCAACTGAAGAACAGACAAAAGTACACGCAAGGCTAACACCTGACAACACTGACCACCAACCGTTGAGAAAGGTTCACTCAATGCTTACCAGCAGTCCACACTAGTAGTACAGTGGCTAACCACAATCATTTGACATTAATATTAAACAAATATTAAATATCAGATTGGAGGGAGAGAGTATGGAGGAGGTGAATGTATTCAGATATTTGGGAGTGGACGTGTCAGCGGATGGGTCTATGAAAGATGAGGTGAATCATAGAATTGATGAGGGGAAAAGAGTGAGTGGTGCACTTAGGAGTCTGTGGAGACAAAGAACTTTGTCCTTGGAGGCAAAGAGGGGAATGTATGAGAGTATAGTTTTACCAATGCTCTTATATGGGTGTGAGGCATGGGTGATGAATGTTGCAGCGAGGAGAAGGCTGGAGGCAGTGGAGATGTCATGTCTGAGGGCAATGTGTGGTGTGAATATAATGCAGAGAATTCGTAGTTTGGAAGTTAGGAGGAGGTGCGGGATTACCAAAACTGTTGTCCAGAGGGCTGAGGAAGGGTTGTTGAGGTGGTTCGGACATGTAGAGAGAATGGAACGAAACAGAATGACTTCAAGAGTGTATCAGTCTGTAGTGGAAGGAAGGCGGGGTAGGGGTCGGCCTAGGAAAGGTTGGAGAGAAGGGGTAAAGGAGGTTTTGTGTGCGAGGGGCTTGGACTTCCAGCAGGCATGCGTGAGCGTGTTTGATAGGAGTGAATGGAGACAAATGGTTTTTAATACTTGACGTGCTGTTGGAGTGTGAGCAAAGTAACATTTATGAAGGGGTTCAGGGAAACCGGCAGGCCGGACTTGAGTCCTGGAGATGGGAAGTACAGTGCCTGCACTCTGAAGGAGGGGCGTTAATGTTGCAGTTTAAAAACTGTAGTGTAAAGCACCCTTCTGGCAAGACAGTGATGGAGTGAATGATGGTGAAAGTTTTTCTTTTTCGGGCCACCCTGCCTTGGTGGGAATCGGCCAGTGTGATAATAAAAAAATTAAACAAATCATACATAGGTAGGAAGCACTATAATTTATATACTGCAGCACTTTATTTTAATTATTGGCAAGTTAAACAGAACTTAAGAAAACTAATTTTAACACGCTCGCTTAACAAGCAAATAGCCATCCACACATCTTTTCATCAAGCCTATGCTTATGCTCGATTACAACATATTATAATTTACAACAAAAGGATATATGAATGTCTAGTCAAGTTACCTTGGCATTCATCACAACAGATATTAAAAAATTAATGCCACCTGTGTAACTTGCTGACTTCAGTGCCTTTGAAATTTGGTGACTTCTCTGAATACTGTGTAAAACCCTTATTACTATTGTTCCTGAATCAATATGCAATAACTTGCTTAGCTAACAAAATGTTGGAGCTTAGTTACTGGACCTATATGTGCCTCTGTAATCTTTTGACTGAATAGTGGCATGTCATTGATGTCATGCAGCATGTACATGTACTTGTAGAAAAAAAGATATTGTTATTATCTTTATTTCTACAAGTACATGCACATGCTGCATGACATCAATGACATGCTATATAGAAAGCCACTTGTTATGCAGAGCATTTTGGGCAAATTTGGTCAATTTTGTTCCGGGATGCGACCCACACCAGTCGACTAACACCAAGGTATCCATTTTACTGATTACCTGGAGTTTACCTGGAGAGATTTCCGGGGGTCAACGCCCCCGCGGCCCGGTATGTGACCAGGCCTCATGGAGGATCAGGGCCTGATCAACCAGGCTGTTACTGCTGGCTGCACACAATCCAACATACGAGCCACAGCCCGGCTGGTCAGGTACCGACTTTAGGTGCTTGTCCAGTGCCTGCTTGAAGACAGCCAGGGGTCTATTGGTAATCCCCCTTATAGAGCATCATGGCCGACGCGGCAGGTTGTGTAGCGGGCTAGCTGCGGGATTTTCAAGGATAGCTCCTGGTCAAAGAGGCTAACCAGGTCCCTACTTAACAGAACTCAGTGTGAATGCTTTGAGAAGATACCAGAGCAGCGAACGGACATCCCAGTGCATCGTTTCAGCGTAAATAGTTGAAGTGTTGTGCAGTTTTAGAGGGTTTAGTGTTGTTGAGTCACGACCAGTCAGCGCCTCCCCCCCTCTCCGCTGGGGGGGAGGGGGAGGGCGTGTGTAGTAAACAGTGACCCTCTCATAACGCCTCACCCCTGCCAGTCTCCCCCGCCTCACCCAACCAACTCCCAGCGCCACCCCATCTGTAGAGGGTACTTCTCCCCTAACCCACGATGTAAGCGATGGCACTGCAGGGAATGCCGGGCTCACAGGAACTTCTACTACAGGGACAGCATCGTGGAGTTCGACCGCGAGGCAGCTGTCAGGTGTGCCACAGGCAGTGTGTACTCAGTTCCTCAAGCTTCAACATCCGTGCACACGAGGGCCTGGGATCTTCAATCAACTTGGTGTCCACCAGGATGCTGACATGTCCCTAGGGCAGCTCTCCATCGGGCTGCTAACGGAGTCACTGGCTTCTTGGACCTCTTGGGGAGGGGCGATGGTGCTCGTGCAAGCAACAGATCCCGGGGCAACTTGCTGCTGTTTGCAATGGCTGTCTGCCGAGAGACAGGCACCTAGCAACATCTGTTGTTGGGGCATTGGATGAATTCCCTACTATTTATTTATTTATTTATTTATTTAGAAATTTTAGCATACATACAGAGGTACAAAAAAAATACAGGTAAGAGCAGCATGCCAAAGCCACTTATATGCATAGCATTACGGGCTGGCTTATAATTAACTTAAGATTAACTAAGCAATGATGAAATCAGTGATAAGACATTATTGTAAACAGATAACTATAAAGCACAAATGAGTATTACAAAGACAGGTCATATGGTTGCATGCATTGCTGTTCATTCAGTAGAATGGAGTATTCTGTTAGGTAGTATATGTTTGTTAACTGCTCATTACTCTGTAATGTGTCTATGATTGTAATCATGTGATAACGTGTTTATCATTCATTACCTTTGAAACTTGTCATGATTGTGACCAGCTCTACCTGGAGCTCATTACCTTTGTAAATTCTCATGATTAATGTGTTTGATTCATTACCTTTGCAATTATTCATGAGTGTGACCAGCTCTACCTGGAGCTCATTACCTTTGTAACTTGGTCATGATTATGACCAGATCTAGTTCATTACCTTTGTAACTTGCTCAGCTATCAAAACTTTGGAGTCCAGTCCCTGGACCAATTATGTACCTCTGTAATCTTTTGACTACCGCCCACAGGATGGGTATGGGGTGCATAATAAACATATTAAGCTAACTAACTGTATGCTGGGAGGCAGTTGAACAGTCTTGGGCCCCTGACACTTATTGTGTTGTCTCTTAACGTGCTAATGACACCCGTTTTTCATTGAGGGGGATGTTGCGTCGTCTGCCGAGTCTTTTGCTTTCATAACAAGTGATTTTCGTGTGGAAGTTTGGTACTAGTCCCTCTAGGATTTTCCAGGTGTATATAATCATGCATCTCTCCCACCAGAGTTCCAGGGAATACAGGTTCAGGAACTTCAAGCACTCCCAGTAATTGAGGTGTTTTATTTCCATTATGCGTGCCGTGAAGGTTCTCTGTACATTTTGTAAGTCAGCAGTATCACCTGTCTTGAAAGGGTGAACGTAGACAACTTATGTAAAGAAACACGCCCAATGTTTCTACCCTCACTGGGAATCGAACCCAGACACTCACTGTGTGAAGCGAGAGCTTTAGCCACCAGGCCACAGGCCATGGCAGTGATCTCACTGATATTACCACGTTACAATCACTCAGGAGAAGGCTCTTATTTTTCTACAAATGTAGTCCTACCATACCTAACTTTAGCAAAAGTGAGAAGCACTAACCTAACAATCTAACTTGACCTAAACCCATAAGGGTCATACAGCATCTTAGGGAATGGGAAGAACTCAGACTCAATCCAAAGAAAGGGAGGGCAGGTCCAATTCCTCTGATCAAGAACTCACAAACATTAAGGAGCCTCCCTTAAGGGGTTTACTTAGATAACGTGTGACTATATTTTAATAGGTCGTCAACTATGCCGCCTGGATAAGTCGCCGACTTTGGTGATTTGAATGAAGAATCAGTGACTGTCATACAAAATAAGAATTGTTTGGATTTTTAACCTGAAGGATTAACCCCCCAGAATAACCCAATTAAGCCAGTGCATCATCAGGGACTTATTTCCACTGGGGTCCCCCCAGGGTGCAACCAACACCAGTCGACTAACACCCAGGTACCTACTTATTGCTATGCAAAGAGAGACAGCAGGTGTAAGGAAACATGCCCAACATTTCCACCCATGCCAGGGATTGTACCACGGACAGTGAGGCGAGAGCGTTGCCAACCGAACCACCGACAATATGAGAATGGGGTGGCTACCCCATACAGGATGGGTATAGGGTAAGTAATAACGCTGTCAAGTTACACTATGAGAACTTTAATTAAGAATATCCCCCCAAAAAAAATTCCTCGAAAGGATTAAATCCAAATTAACGACGACAGCGGTCACAGCTTCCCTCCTGCAGATCCCAAACCCCAACACTGGTAAAGCAGACTCGTGGTATATAAACCAGCTACAAGACTCACTCGTTCATGTGGGTCATCAAAAGTAGGAGCGAGGAGGTTGGTGACGATGATGGAGGTGGAGGGTACCTCGTCCGCCACCATTTCCGCCTCCTCGTCCTTCTCATCCTCCATGACCAGGTCTGAGCTGTACCCCGCTGCTTCTCCTCCTTCCTCCTCACAATTATTCACAACGGTGCCTATGTCCTCGATCAACATGTCTGCCATACACCGACTAAAATAAAGATCAGCTCGCCAGGTCGTCGCCTTGTTTACCACTCAGTTCTGATGACTGAAGAACAACATTATAAAGAAAATGTGCAGGAGTAACTATTCAAATCATTTCCACGAAATTAAATGAGAATTTCACATTTTCGCTGTACCGTGAAAGTGTCGCCCAATATCTCTAACCAGTTGCTTGTGAGACATTTGAGAGGATGGTCATATATCGTTTCATTCATGGAAGGAATGGAATTACCTATTAATAATTACCTATTTGTACTGCAAGGAAAGAGTTATGCTCATGGCATTCTCTTTTCAATAATTTTTTTCATATATATATATATATATATAATATATATATATATATATATATATAATATATATATATATATATATATTATATATATATTATTTGCTGGTGAGGGGCTCTTGATTTAGGAAATTGGATCTGTGCTCCAGTTCCCCGAATTAAGCCTGAATGCCTTCAACATTCCCCCCCCCCCCCCCAGGCGCTGTATAATCCTCCGGGTTGAGCTCTTCCCCTTGATTATAATAATAAAATCCGCACCATGAGAGATTACCTACTTCCTGATCACTGTCCCTCATTTTGGGATCATACTCATGGCTATGTTTTGAAGCTAAACTTGTTTAATGGCTTAATTTGTAATGATGCTAAGTCACACAGTACTCTCTCTTTCATAAGTTATGTATGTTGATGGCTCTGTCCATCAACCCACTGGTGCCGCTGGTGGTGGTGATGATGCTGTCACGCAGAGCGATGGTTCCTATATAGACATTGGAACAGGTATCAGTAACCGAGTTTCCATTTTTCAGATGAACTGTTTACTATTCTTTTTGATCTCAAGTGAGTCTATGTATCTAAAGCTGACACCTTAATTGTAAATGATTCCCATCCATAAGTGCTTTTAACTCCATAGAATGTCAATTTTGACATGCTTGGGCCAGAAGCTAGGCATAAGTATTGTAGAATTGGAGACAGTATTAACAACAATAATGACATACTACTATAAAGAAAGCCGTTTATTTTGCAGAACATTTCGGGCAAATTAGGTCAGTTTTGTCCCTAGATGAGGTGACCCATAACAGTCGACTAACACCCAGTTACCCATTTAACTGATGGATGAACATGGACAGTAGGTATCTTATGGAAACATGTCCTAATGTTTTCCAGCCGTACCGGGATTAGATCCCCAGACCTCAGTGTGTGAGGTGAGTGCGCTAGCAATTGAGCTACGGGAAATCTCAGTACATCTATGGATTCCTCTCACATTGGACTGAAAATACATAATAGAATAACTATTTTTTTCACTTTCAATAGGCAACATGGTTGTTGTTTATAATATAAAATCTTAATTGATTCCTATCCCGGAGAAAAATGTATATAATGATCAAATTTACAAATGAACGGGAATAAAATTTACTACCCGAGCTGTCACAACGCATTAACCCAGTAACAGCATCTTGATCTTTGGACTGTCACAATCCATCAACCCAGTAAGAGCATCTTGCTCCTGGGACTGTTACAACCCAGTAACAGCACTTTGCTCCTTGGACTGTTACAACCCATCAACCCAGTAACAGCATCTTGCTCATTGGATTGTCACAACCAAGTAACAGCAACTTGCTCACTTGACTGTCACAGCCCATCAACCCAGTAACAACAACTTGCTCGCTGGACTGTCACAACCCAGTAACAGCATCTTGCTCACTGGACTGTCACAACCCAGTAACAGCATCTTGCTCACTGGACTGTCACAACCCAGTAACAGCATCTTGCTCACTGGACTGTCACAACCCAGTAACAGCATCTTGCTCACTGGACTGTCACAACCCAGTAACAGCATCTTGCTCACTGGACTGTCACAACTCAGTAACAGCATCTTGCTCACTGGACTGTCACAACCCAGTAACAACATCTTGCTCACTGGACTGTCACAGCCCATCAACATAGTAACAGCAACTTGCTCACTGGACTGTCACAGCCCATCAACTCAGTAACAGCATCTTGCTCACTGGACTGTCACAACTCAGTAACAGCATCTTGCTCACTGGACTGTCACAGCCCATCAACCCAGTAACAGCATCTTGATCTTTGGACTGTTACAATCCATCAACCCAGTAAGAGCATCTTGCTCCTGGGACTGTTACAATCCAGTAACAGCATCTTGCTCACTGGACTGTCACAACCCAGTAACAGCATCTTGCTCGCTGGACTGTCACAACCCAGTAACAGCATCTTGCTCACTGGACTGTCACAACCCAATAACAGCATCTTGCTCACTGGACTGTCACAACCCAATAACAGCATCTTCCTCACTGGACTGTCACAACCCAGTAACAGCATCTTGCTCACTGGACTGTCACAACCCAGTAACAGCATCTTGGCAATATAAACACAAATGCAGTATAATGTGATCCTTTATTGACTACGTTTCGCCCACACAGTGGGCTTTTTCAAGTCACAAACAGAACTACCTGGGGTGGAAGGAACGCGAGTATTTATAGTCCGGCTGAAGTCAGGTGAAGAATGCTGCATCTGATGATGTACCGAGTGGGGTTATAGAGTCTAAAAACTTGGGTAGCTTGGAAAGGAGATTGGATAAGTTTGTGAGCAGACCTTCTACAGTGTTCTTATGTGGGATAGCGATGAAGAAGTTTCTTGGCAAGTGGTTCAGCTATGTTATAGAAGCCACTATTCTGGTTGAAGTTGTCGGATATAGAAATAAGTGATGATTCCAGGATTCTTCAATAAAGGATCACATTATACTGCATTTGTGTTTATATTGCCATTGTGTCGGTATTTTATACCATTTATTTCCAACAGCATCTTGCTCACTGTACTGTCACAACCCAGTAACAGCATCTTGCTCACTGGACTGTCACAACCCAGTAACAGCATCTTGCTCACTGGACTGTTACAACCCAGTAACAGTAAGATAAGATCTCGTTCGGATTTTTAACCCCGGAGGGTTAGCCACCCAGGATAACCCAAGAAAGTCAGTGCGTCATCGAGGACTGTCTAACTTATTTCCATTGGGGTCCTTAATCTTGTCCCCCAGGATGCGACCCACACCAGTCGACTAACACCCAGGTACCTATTTGCTGCTAGGTGAACAGGACAACAGGTGTAAGGAAACGTGTCGAAATGTTTCAACCCGCCGGGAATCGAACCCGGGCCCTCCGTGTGTGAAGCGGGAGCTTTAGCCACCAGGCCACCAGGACCTGGAGTTTACCTGGAGAGAGTTCCGGGGGTCAACGCCCCCGCGGCCCGGTCTGTGACCAGGCCTCCTGGTGGATCAGAGCCTCATCAACCAGGCTGTTGCTGCTGGCTGCACGCAAACCAACGTACGAGCCACAGCCCGGCTGGTCAGGAACCGACTTTAGGTGCTTGTCCAGTGCCAGCTTGAAGACTGCCAGGGATACCTGGAGTTTACCTGGAGAGAGTTTCGGGGGTCAACGCCCCCGCGGCCCGGTCTGTGACCAGGCCTCCTGGTGGATCAGCGCCTGATCAACCAGGCTGTTGCTGCTGGCTGCACGCAAACCAACGTACGAGCCACAGCCCGGCTGATCAGGAACTGACTTTAGGTGCTTGTCCAGTGCCAGCTTGAAGACTGCCAGGGGTCTGTTGGTAATCCCCCTTATGTGTGCTGGGAGGCAGTTGAACAGTCTCGGGCCCCTGACACTTATTGTATGGTCTCTTAACGTGCTAGTGACACCCCTGCTTTTCATTGGGGGGATGGTGCATCGTCTGCCAAGTCTTTTGATTTCGTAGTGAGTGATTTTCGTGTGCAAGTTCGGTACTAGTCCCTCTAGGATTTTCCAGGTGTATATAATCATGTATCTCTCCCTCCTGCGTTCCAGGGAATACAGGTTTAGAAACCTCAAGCGCTCCCAGTAATTGAGGTGTTTTATCTCCGTTATGCGCGCCGTGAAAGTTCTCTGTACATTTTCTAGGTCGGCAATTTCACCTGCCTTGAAAGGTGCTGTTAGAGTGCAGCAATATTCCAGCCTAGATAGAACAAGTGACCTGAAGAGTGTCATCATGGGCTTGGCCTCCCTAGTTTTGAAGGTTCTCATTATCCATCCTGTCATTTTTCTAGCAGATGCGATTGATACAATGTTATGGTCCTTGAAGGTGAGATCCTCCGACATAATCACTCCCAGGTCTTTGACGTTGGTGTTTCGCTCTATTTTGTGGCCAGAATTTGTTTTGTACTCTGATGAAGATTTAATTTCCTCATGTTTACCATATCTGAGTAATTGAAATTTCTCATCGTTGAACTTCATATTGTTTTCTGCAGCCCACTGAAAGATTTGGTTGATGTCCGCCTGGAGCCTTGCAGTGTCTGTTGGTAATCCCCCTTATGTATGCTGGGAGGCAGTTGAACAGTATCGGGCCCCTGACACTTATTGTATGGTCTCTTAACGTGCTATTGACACCCCTGCTTTTCATTGCGGGAATGTTGCATCGTCTGCCAAGTCTTTTGCTTTCGTAGTGAGTGATTTTCGTGTGCAAGTTCGGTACTAGTCCCTCTAGGATTTTCCAGGTGTATATAATCATGTATCTCTCCCGCCTGTGTTCCAGGGAATACAGTTTTAGGAACCTCAAGCGCTCCCAGTAATTGAGGTGTTTTATCTCCGCTATGTGTGCCATGAAGGTTCTCTGTACATTTTCTAGGTCAGCAATTTCACCTGCCTTGAAAGGTGCTGTTAGTGTGCAGCAATATTCCAGCCTAGATAGAACAAGTGACCTGAAGTGTCATCATGGGCTTGGCCTCCCTAGTTTTGAAGGTTCTCATTATCCATCCTGTCATTTTTCTAGCAGATGCGATTGATACAATGTTATGGTCCTTGAAGGTGAGATCCTCCGACATGATCACTCCCAGGTCTTTGACGTTGGTGTTTCGCTCTATTTTGTGGCCAGAATTTGTTTTGTACTCTGATGAAGATTTAATTTCCTCGTGTTTACCATATCTGAGTAATTGAAATTTCTCATAGTTGAACTTCATATTGTTTTCTGCAGCCCACTGAAAGATTTGGTTGATGTCCGCCTGGAGCCTTCCAGTGTCTGCAATGGAAGACACTGTCATGCAGATTCGGGTGTCATCTGCAAAGGAAGACACGGTGCTGTGGCTGACATCCTTGTCTATGTCGGATATGAGGATGAGGAACAAGATGGGAGCGAGTACTGTGCCTTGTGGAACAGAGCTTTTCACCGTGCCTGCCTCGGACTTTACTCTGTTGACGACTACTCTCTGTGTTCTGTTAGTGAGGAAATTATAGATCCATCGACCGACTTTTCCTGTTATTCCTTTAGCACGCATTTTGTGCGCTATTACGCCATGGTCACACTTGTCGAAGGCTTTTGCAAAGTCTGTATATATTACATCTGCATTATTTTTATCTTCTAGTGCATTTAGGACCTTGTCGTAGTGATCCAATAGTTGAGACAGACAGGAGCGACCTGTTCTAAACCCATGTTGCCCTGGGTTGTGTAACTGATGGGTTTCTAGATGGGTGGTGATCTTGCTTCTTAGGACCCTTTCAAAGATTTTTATGATATGGGATGTTAGTTGCTTTACTGCCCCCTTTGTGGAGTGGGGCTATGTCTGTTGTTTTTAGTAACTGTTGGACGACCCCCGTGTCCATGCTCCCTCTCCATAGGATGGAAAAGGCTCGTGATTGGGGCTTCTTGTAGTTCTTGATGAACACGGAGTTCCATGAGTCTGGCCCTGGGGCAGAGTACATGGGCATGTCATTTATCGCCTGTTCGAAGTCATTTGGCGTCAGGATAACACCGGATAGGCTTGTGTTAACCAAATTCTGTGGCTCTCTCATAAAAAATTAATTTTGATCTTCGACTCTCAGTCTGGTTAGCGGCTTGCTAAAAACTGAGTCATATTGGGACTTGAGTAGCTCACTCATTTCCTTGCTGTCATCTGTGTAGGGCCCATCTTGTTTAAGTAGGGGCCCAATACTGGACGTTGTTCTCGACTTTGATTTGGCATAGGAGAAGAAATACTTTGGGTTTCTTTCGATTTCATTTATGGCTTTTAGTTCTTCCCGCGATTCCTGACTCCTACAAGATTCCTTTAGCTTAAGTTCGATGCTTGCTATTTCTCTGACCAGTGTCTCCCTACGCATTTCAGATATATTGACCTCTTTTAGCCGCTCTGTTATTCTTTTCCGTCGCCTGTAAAGGGAGCGCCTGTCTCTTTCTATTTTACATCTACTCCTCCTTTTTCCTAGAGGAATAAGCCTTGTGCATACATCGAGTGCCACGAAGTTAATCTGTTCTAGGCATAAGTTTATGGGGTCTGTGTTGCTTATCACAACCCAGTAACAGCACTTTGCTCCTTGGACTGTTACAACCCATCAACCCAGTAACAGCATCTTGCTCATTGGGTTGTCACAACCAAGTAACAGCATCTTGCTCACTGGACTGTCACAGCCCATCAACATAGTAACAGCAACTTGCTCACTGGACTGTCACAGCCCATCAACTCAGTAACAGCATCTTGCTCACTGGACTGTCACAACCCAGTAACAGCATGGTTGGTAGGTAAGACACATAGGCAACAGTTAGGCAACTTTATTCCGAAACGTTTCGCCTACACAGTAGGCTTCTTCAGTCGAATACAGAAAGTAGGCAGGAACAGTAGAGAAGACGATGTAATCAGTCCATCACCCTTAAAGTCGTAGAATTTGAGGTTGTCAGTCCCTCGGCCTGGAGAAGTTCAGTTCCATAGTCAGGAACTATCTGTTCAGTAACAGCATCTTGCTCACTGGACTATCACAACCCAGTAACAGCATCTTGCTCACTGGACTGTCAGAACCCATCAACCCAGTAGCACTATACGGCTCCCTGAGTTGTCACAACCCATCAACCCAACAATAACAAGATAATTCAGCTTATATAGGGCTTTCCTCTTGTTTTTCCTCCCCCGAGGCTGTCAAGACCATCAGACTCCGCCCAGATTACAGTAATATTTGTACCCCGGTCACCAGGAAGTAGGTCTTAATACAGCATAGTTTAGCACTGCTCTTGTGGCTATACTAATAATAATAATCGATACGGCTTGAGTTATCCATTTCTTATCTTGTGCTGTAGTGACCTTTGTGGGTTTAGCGCTTAATCTTGATTTTAATAATAATAATTATATTGTGGTTAGCTTTAACAATTTAAAAGGAAGCAATTTGGGATTTATTTTTGTTTAATTTTGTAGCTGAACGTCGTATAAAGGTATTACAGTATACATAGCTGTATGACCCTTGTGGGTTTAGCGCTTGCTTTTGATTATAATACAGTATATATAATTTGTACTACTAGTAATGTCGTAAGTTTATATAGTAATAGATTCACTTCACTGACATGCTTCCATGAAAGATTTATTTAATTTTCAATCACTTGCTTTAATTTAAACTTGTGGATATATTTTATAAATTAGGATGGCAGATCAGGAGTGACTCCTTCAGATGCCTTACAACTTATGCATTTGATTGTGATCCATTTCTTGTTACTTCAAATAATAACTACTTACATCATGGTTAATTTACTAATAATATCTTGAAATTTTACTTTCCAACTTCCATTTTCAAATTATATATCTAATACTACTTTTTTTTCCAGATTATTTAACTCTGAAGAATGGAGGATAATGCTGAGAAAGTACACAGGTGAGACCAAAAGGCTGACTGAAATTTTGAAGGAATGTTTATTTTTCTTTGTATAATATTTCATATACAGTATATTTACATTATTAGCCTGCAGAACTAAAACCTAGTTGTAGACATCTTGGTAGTACTACACAGTAATTAAAAATGTATGAGACCTGCATAATCTTATGGGACTTTATGTTTCACTCACTATTTATGTTAGTCCAGCCCACTATGCTGAAGCTGAATAATAATAATAACAATAATAATAATAATAATAATAATAATAATTAGTATTTCTACATGATACAACTTATACAGACTAGCTGACATCAGTGACTTGCTATATAGAAAGCTTCTGGTTATGCAGTGCATTTCAGGAAAATTAGGGTAATATTGTCTCCAGGATGTGACCCACACCAATCAGATAACACCCATGTACCTATTTACTGCTAGGTGAACAGGAACAGTACGTGTCCCCTTCACAGGAGTTTCCACCTGTGAAGGGGATTCCTTGAATTATGCTTGGTTACTACTGTCTTTCAAGCATGGTCCATGGATAGATTGGCCAGTAATTTGTTTAGTTTAAATATTGTAATTTTAGATTGTTTTCATATCAAAAAAAGTTGCCTTATTAATGTGATTTATTTGATATTGTTATTCACTCCATTCATCTTCGGTATATCGTTTAGTCTCTTCAGTTGATCTTTCCTTTGGTGATCAGTTGTGTGAGCAAAGAAGTTGGGCATTTAACCTAGTGATAATTTTAATAATTCATATTAAGTGTTACAGCCATGTGGGTCATTCAGTGCAAGACATAGTGAAGGCTTGAACCTCTGTTTGCTGAGGGCGACACATGTGCACTTCCAATTTGTACTCATCTAGATGATCTATGACAGTACATTCCCATTTTTATAAGATGGAGAAACATTTGTTAGAAAAATGGAAATTTATAGTAGAAAAAATAGCAAAATTTAGAGACACCATTGGTAGTACCACATGTATCCTCATAATACAGGAGTAAAGTGTAAGAATGCCACCAAGATAATCGAAATTTATGCCAATGTAATGCCTTGTTTACAGTTTTTAGTTAAATATCAGCAACTTGTAGGGTATGTATTTTGTAAAATCTATAATGTAATGACTTACATTCTTTTGATACTACAGCTTGGTTCACCTTGACTTGAAGGGCGCTCCTCCAAGACTCGGCTACTTTGAACAGGTAAAATGATTTTAGCCTTTCCCAGAAGGTTTCAGCCTTTCACAGAATTATACACTGATGTGTATTTTTAGCTGTAATGCTATAGTCCCTTGTAAGTTTTCTCTAGTGCTAGTGCTTCCCTAGGAATATAATAATAATGATGCCATTGAGTTTGTAGAGTTCATCCCAAGCAAATATAACTGGCTTAAACCAGTTATATTTGCAGATGACACAACCTTGGCTATTTCAAATTCAGAACCAGTCGTCCTCACCAACACTGTTAATGAGGAGATAAGGAAGATATTTACTTGAATGATTACCAACAAACTCTGAGTCATGCTGAGTAATACCTATAATAATAATGATAATAATAATAATACAGTGGACCCCCGCTTTACGATCAGCTCCCAATGCGACCAATTATGTAAGTGTATTTATGTAAGTGCATTTGTACGTGTATGTTTGGGGGTCTGAAATGGACTAATCTAATTCACATATTCCTTACGGGAACAAATTCGTTCAGTTCTGGCACCTGAACATACATCTGGAATGAAATAATATCGTAAACCGGGGGTCCACTGTATATCTTCATTTCTACAAGTACATGTACAAGATATACAGGCCTAGCTGACATCGATGGCATACAACTATATAGAAAGCCCCTTGTTATGCAGAGCATTTTGGTCAAATTAAGTCAATTTTGTTCCAGGATGCAATCCACACCACTCGACTAACACCCAGGTACCCATTTTACTGATGGATGAACAGGGACAACAGGTGTATGGAAACACGCCCAATGTTTCCACCCTTGCTAAGAATCGAACCATGGACCATCAGCTAAATAAGTACCCCACAGGGCAATCAAAAATACAGTGGACCCCCAAATATCAGCCGGTATGGATATCGGCCAAATCAGATTTCGGCTGCTTTTTTGGCCAAAATTCTATCCTGGATTTTGGCTGGCAACTTGGAAATCAGCTGTATTGGTTGCGTTCACCCATCATGCCGCGTGTGTGAGTCAGTGAGCAACACTCTGCGCATTCATACAAACATTTTGTTATAATCCATTGTTTTTTGTGGTCGTTTATTGAGTGCGACTGTGAAATAAGCCACCATGGGCCCAAGAGCTAACCACTGAAGAGCTGCAAGACTTTCATCTGTAACAGCAACAGACCACAGCTGAGGAAATTGGTTCAGAGGAGGAGGAAGAGAGAGGGAAGAAGGTGCCTTCTTCAGCGATTAAGGACATTTGTACAAAGTGAAGGGATGTGCAAAGTTTTGTGGAGAAATATCACCCTGACCAAGCTGAAACAAACCATATCTGCAACATGTTCAGTGACAAAACCTTGTCCCACTTCAGGCAAATCTTAAAAGAGACGCCAGAAACAGACCTCTATGGACAATTTTTTGAGTGACGGGGGTGCAGTGACTCTTGAGCTGGTCCTAGTGCCAGTAAAAGACAAAGAAGGGAAGTAACCCCAGATAGGGACTTGATACCTGAATTCCTTATGGAGGGGGATTCCCTTTCCAAATAATAATCAATCCTCCCTCTCCCCTCCTCCCTGTCTTCCATATGCCAACAAGAATCTTCAGTAAGCATAAATGTGATGTTAAGTGTTCATTTATCCATTTCATGTGTCATTTTATTTAGTTCTCATTGTTTTGTGTATGTAAAACTATAGTTAATCTTTAAAAAATGTATTTTTTGTTAATATTTTTGGGTGTCTGGAATGGATTAATTGTATTTACACTGACTCATCGAAATCGTAAGGGCACGATTGCAAACAAACCATACCACGGGCAGGATTGAACCCGTGGTCAGAGAGTCTCAAAACTCCAGACTGTCGCGTTAGCCACTGGACCAGCTAGCCACAATAATATTCATCCAACTAGGTATATTTCTACACCTTCCTATGGTGTAGAAATATACCTAGTTGGATGAATCTTATTGTGGCTAGCTGATCCAGTGGCTAACGCAACGGTCTGGAGTTTTGAGACTCTCTGACCGCGGGTTCAATCCTGCCCGTGGTATGGTTTGTATTTACACTAATTCTTATGGGAAATATTACTTTGGTTTTTGGCCTTTTCGGATTTAGGCTGACCTGGAACGGATTACAGCCGAAATCTGGGGTTCCACTGTATACAGATTAAGAGAATGGTTATAATCATTAAAATATTTAATCAAAACATGTAGGTAAATAAAACACATTGAAAGGCAAGATGAGGGAATTCTTAGATACAGAAACCACCTTGACCATAAGCTAAAATTTATCACTCATCCAGCAAATCTAAGAAAATGTCTAAAACAGTGGGCATTCTTTGAAAATTCATTACCATGTATTGTATACTAACATTACTCACTCTGTACTACTCCTATCTATTCTTATATCACCTATGGTATATGTGCATGAAAATCTAAAACCCATCACAACTCAACAAAATTCTATTTAAATGATAAACTCTTGAAATTCCAGACAGTGCACACTCCTTAATATAATATATATGACACTCATTACAAATATTAACCTGGTACTAAAACTCATATTGGAGAGCTTCAACAAAATGCATACACACAATACAAGAAATAAATAGCTCTTTGATATCTCACATGTAGAAACTTCTCAAAAATAAAAGATTCACAAATATAAACTATCACAAATAAACACTATCTGAATTTTATGTAAATGTGTGGATTGACTATAAATGTCAAATTTGTATAATGGAGTTTGCTTATCTAGATTCCAAGTAGCATTCATACTTGTGTAATAATAATAATAATGAAGCCTGGCCAAGGATGTACTTGTGATCATTCCCTAAATTACATTAAAAATATTTATACTGTAGATTGAAACTGTCTTGTTATTTTGGATAGTGACAAAATGTTTTCACCCATTTTCAGCTGTTTCCGATACTGTCATCATTTGGTGCCACGGGTTTGCTAGTGGAATATGAAGATATGTTTCCTTACCACGGCAAAGTTGCACACATAAGAGCACCACATGCCTACTTACCTGATGACATTATAAAATTGCACACTCTTGCTACAAACAATAATCTCATTGTAATCCCTTTAGTTCAGACATTTGGACACTTTGAGGTGAGTTTTGAACTTTACAGTTTAAAAATAATTTTTTTAATGTTTGTTTAATCTGAATGTGTAGTTCTGTATGTTCATTTTAGAAATCTCTTGGTATCCTGACTCCTTACTCTTCTTATTTGAATCCTTCAATTTTTCATTTAGTATTAATTAGTTATGTTAAATTACCAATGGCTGTCTTAATATCACCACATAATTTATTGATGTTGATGTTATAAGTGTAATTATTCATTTGTTTATCTTGTTTTGTATTGGTGTTTTACAGTTTGTATTAAAACACGACGAGAACCGAGCTATTAGAGAAATAGAGCGCTACCCTAATGCTCTTTGTCCAACTCACCCGGATGCTTTCCCATTGGTTTCCAGAATTATCGCTCAGGTGGTCGAGTTACACCCTAACGATAAATTTTTCCACATAGGAGCTGATGAGGTTTGTATTTTAATATTGCTTTTGTGTCTCTCCATTATTCTATTTAAAACTCTACTGTAGTGATCTGGTATACGTACTATAATTTTTCCATACTGTATTTGGTATTAAACTACTCTGTTGTACAGTCTGTAACTTGTACTTTTCACTTCGTTTTTAGCATCGGAAAGATCATTAAAGAGCTGCCTCATATTTTCAAGATTTTTATTTATATTTTCCCGTGTAAGGCTTAAGACTGTAAATTATCCTTCTCCTTTTAAGCTTATTACATGATCAGACCAGCTCAGTATGAAGCCAAGACATGAAAATTCTCTGTTGACAAGCTCTGTTTCTAAAAATACTCAAACATCACATACTCCTGAGCACTCTTGGCCTGTACTATACTTTACCAAAGTGGTTATAAATAATTTTTATGGTAGATCTTAGAATTTGGTATTAGTCTGTGGTGACTCATCCATTTTTCTTGGTGACCATAGTTGATTTTAACAGCATGCAAAATCATAATGACACAATTGTAAACAGCTTGCCAAACTGAGGGTTCAAACCTGTGGCAAGTCAGTTCCAAAACTAACAGGCAGTGCACTATTCACTGTACAATGCCATCATGATACAGCACTTGGATAGTGTGCTGGGCTGCTTGTTTAGAACTGGCTTGCCATTGGTTCGAACCATCAGTTCAGTGACAACACTTGATTTTGTTCTGCTTATTATTCTTGAATCCAGTGGCACCACTTTTTTTTTTTTAAGGCTGTACTGCTAAAACCTTTTTTATATATTCATCAAGACATTTTTGGAGACTTTAAAGAAAGCTGTGTTAAATTCAATGATGCATTCCATATTATGCAAACTTGTGTATGCATACACCAAGTATCCTGTACCCCTTCCACTTCCATGAGAAGGGCATTTAAATCCTTTTGAAGTAGTCATCATACCATTCTAATCAATACATACTCTCTGTGGCTCAAGTGTTAATTCCCTTGGCTCACAACTGTTGGACTAAGGATTCGAGCCCAGCGGAAGTGGAAATGTTGGGTATGTTTCCTTTCACCAGTTGCCTCTGTTCACCAAGTAGTAAATAAGTACCTGAGTTCTAACCAAGTGTTGTGGATTGCATCCCAGGGAGGGTGTTAGTATACCTTAGATAAGGCTTGGCTTTGAAATGAGCTTGTTCTCTGTAAATTCATCTGTGTAAAAAATAAGAACCGGATATCAAGTCCAGCTAAGGTATACATCTGTCTGTTCACAGTGCCCCGTGGCCTGGTGACTAAAGCTCTTGCTTTATACGTGAGGTCCAGGTTCGATTCCCGGCAAGAAACATTGGGCAAGTTTCTTTACACCGGTTGTCCATGTTCCTCAGTAAAATGGGTACCTGGGTGTTAGTCGACTGGTGTAGGTCGCATCCTGGGACAAAACTGACCTAATTTGCCTGAAATGTTCTGCATAAGTGGCTTTCTGTATAGTAGTATGTCACTGATGTCAGCTAGGCCTGTATACCTTGTACATGTTTTTCTTTTCATTATTTACACACTGGCCAATTCCCACCAAGGCAGGGTGGCCCGAAAAAGAAAAACTTTCACCATCATTCACTCCATCACTGTCTTGCCAGAAGGGTGTTTTACACTACAGTTTTTAAACTGCAACATTAACACCCCTCCTTCAGAGTGCAGGCACTGTACTTCCTGCACTCTGAAGGAGGGGTGTTAATGCACATGTACTTGTAGAAATAAAGATATTATTATTATTATTATTATTAATTATTATTTTATATTATTATTATTATTATTATTATTATTATTATTATTATTATTATAACATGCATTTTACATAGACCTCAGTAGTTTGAATTGTGATGGTTGCACAAACTGGCTCTTGAGTGAGTGATGGAGAATGTTTCTTTTGAGCGACCCTGCCTTGGTGGGAAATTGTTGAGATGTTAAAAAAAAATTAAGTATTTTTTGCAAGCTATGGGTTGTTTTGTCTTTTGGTAGTGATTTAATTAACAAATGTCAGTATGTACTGAATTACAAAAATTTATTGGTTGATCGAGTTATTTAATTTAGTACAGTATTAATGCATTTACTTTACAGTACAGTAGACCGTCGTTTAACACGGTAGTTACGTTCTATTTTGTTAGACAAACTGAAGAACTTATGGGAAAAATAGAGTTACGTTCCTGGGAGCTCCCAAAAAGCCAAACAACCTTTTTTTAGACCGACAGATCTTACAAAAATAAAAGTGGACATGTAATTGTAGTTCATTGTCATGATATAGTACGGCTTAAGACTACATATCCAATAGAAATAATAGTATTTCTTACCTTAAATTGTGGGTAATGGTGTTTGTGGATAATTGTGAAGAGAGTGGATATGCATGGTGTGGCCCTAATGGGCTGAGGTGGATGGTTGTTGGTTGTTGGCAGAAGTGGATGGTAGAAGTTCTGGTGCTAAAGTCGATGGTTGTATTGGAGTGTGCATAAATTCTGTAATGGATCTCCGGGCTCTTTTACCCTGCAGTACATTATACAGCTGACAGTAAGGCATCATCAGCTGGTCTAGACCCCATTTTAAAGCACTACTTCTAGATTTGTCAGGGTCTTCTTCATTGAAAAAGTCTGCTAGTCTAGCAGCAACATGGAACTGCTCATGTAACTGCTGCAATGTTAACTGGTTTTTCTTCAGGTTCTTCTTCATCTTCTGTTATGTGGCTCCCTTGTATCTGTACATTGAGCTCTGCCAACATTTCCTCTGGACTCCTGTCTTCATCATCTTCTAAGAGCTCATTCACATCTTTTTCATTCATATCTTCAAAACCATCACCTAGTAATCTCTTTGCCAGCTGAACAATTTCCTGAACCTGACTCTCAAGCAAGGGAAAATCAGTGAAGGAACTACAGAAGGCCATAACTTTCCCCAGCCTGCATTTAATGTTGATTGAGGCACTTCATTCCATGCACTTCTAGCATAGCTGATGGCATCTGCAATGTTAAATTTATTCCAGAAGCTTGGTACTGCCAGGTTGGAGTCAGAGCCCATTGACACAACTAGTTTTTTCATTACTTTTTTTTGTGTAGTTACACTTGAATGACTTAATAACTCCCTGATCCAGTGGTTGTATTAAAAATATTGTATTTGGAGGTAGAAATACAGTGGTACCTCAAGTAATGAATTTGAGTTGTTCCAGAAGGCTGTTCGAATGCCGATACCAAACGAATTTGTTCCCATAAGGAATAATGTAAATTAGATTAGTCCGTTTCAGACCCCCAAAAATACACATACAAAAGCACTTACAAAAATACACTTACATAATTGTTCGAGTTGGGAGCTGTTCGAAACTCAAGGTACCACTGTACAACTTTTACATGTGGAGTCATATATAGCAAAGCTTGTGGATGAATACGGGAATTATCAAGAATGAAGAGAGCCTTGAATGCAAGGTTCTTGCTGTGCAGGTAAAACTTGACTTCAGGAATAAAGTGATGCTTAAATCAGTCAATAAATATTTCCTCTGTCATCCAGAGAAAATATTTATTGACTGGTTTAAGATATGGCAGATTTAAGATATGGCAATTAAAAGATCTAAACTCAATCCACAAACAAAAATAAACACATCTAGCTCCTAGCAGAGGATGGTTCTACACATGTATGAACCGGCGGGGACAAGGGTGGTAGGAGTGTTGGAGGGTGACTGGGGATGGTGGTAGGTCTACCCCGTTGACTCAGTGGTCTAACTCACAGCCAAGCAGAGTGTATCCCGTGGGCGACTCGCTCCAAATTTTTTCCCCTCCGCAAACTAGACCGTGTTCAGTTAATTTTACGAAGTGTACAAAAATATGCTGCAATTCTTCAGTAGTGCTATAACCAAAATGTGCCAAATAAAACCATGTTAAACGACAGTCTACTGTATATTGATGTTTTGTATAATGTTCAGTTTCCCAGTTTATTCCTTTAATTTCTTTGATATACACGTATACATATTACATATTTAATATGTATTGCATAGTCTGAACTTTAGTTTCATGGTTTATAGAAATGTTTTAGTAATTGAAATGCAGTATAAGGACAAGAAAACAATTCACAACTAAACAATTGGAGAGAAGACTTTAAATGTACAGTGGTCTAAAATTGCTCTCAGATTTGTAACTATGTTGTGTAATGTTCCAACCAGAGTATTATTAGTTTGCTTTACAAATTACTCTTGCACCCTTATCTTTATTGCTGTATTGAAGCATGGAGACCACAGCTGTGGAGATATGTCCTCAATGGAAAGGTTCAGTGGAAGATAGTAAAAGTCACCCACCAGTCATATACATACCAGAATTGGTAGAAGGCAACAGGACTGACAACTCTTAATTAAGTCATGACAGGGCCGATCTCATACAAATATTTAATCAATTTAATAAGATTAATGACTTAACTTATAGCCATTGGCTGGGGTTTTAAGTTAATTTTTCTATATGAAAATCTAAATTAAATTTATTAACACAGTCCTATATGGGTGTGAAGCATGTGTTTTAAACATTACAGCTAGGGAGAGGTTCAATACATTGAAGATGTTGTGTTTAGGGTGCTGTGTAGTGTGAATATTATGAAGAGAATTCTGAATTTGGAGATTGGAAAAAGGTGTGAGAATTCCTAAGTGTATTATTCAGAGGGCTGAGGAGGGGTTATCGAGAATATATGGACATTTATAGAGAAGGGTATTTAAATTGGGGGTGGAGGGAAGTAGGGGTAAGGGTCATCTTTCAGGAAGGGATGGAGATTGAGGAAAATGTTTTGAATACTAACTGCTTGAACATCCAACAGGCTTGTGTGAGTGGCAGCAAGTGGGTTTTAATGGCTTGACATGCTGTTGGAGTGTGAGCAAGGTAATGTTAATGAAGGGATTCAGGGAAACTGGTTAGCCAAATTCAAGTCCTGGAGATGGAAAGTACAATGTCTGCACCAAAGACAAGGTGAGGATGTTGCAGTTTGAAGGACCATCTGAACTGTGATGTCAGTATGTTTCTGGCAAGACAGTGACTGAATGAATGAGAGTGAGTGTGTCCTCTGGAAAGACTGTCTGTATGTTCAGTCCTATTATTGTGTAAGGTAAAATAAAAGTATATATAAAGGGGTTTTCTCTGTTTTTTGCTTTTCAGGTATGGCATATTGGTAAGTGCCCAAGGTGTCAGAATGAGATGGAAGTCAAAAAAATGTCCAGCAGTGATTTATTCCTAGCATGGGTGTTCAAAGTGGCTTGGTGGATGAAAAAAGAATACCCAAACCTTACTATTATCATGTGGGATGACATGATGCGAAACATGCCTCTGGATAAACTTAAAAGTTAGTAATGTATATAAGTTGTTATAACATTTAAGTAATGTATATAAGTTGTTATAACATTTAAACCTTTTCATAGAAATATTGTTTTATGTAGTGTACAGTAGGACCCCCATATCCATGGGGGATGTGTTCCAAGGACCTGCCATGGATACCAAAACCATGGATAGTAGCAAATCCTATACACCCTCTCCTCACTTAGCAACGTACTTGTTTACTGACGACTCGGACTTACGACAGGCTTTCTAACCAGTATGCATACCTGAATGATGTATATTAGAGCTGATTTCCTCTTTTCTGTTTATTACAGTATACAGTACACTACTATATAAACATTTAAAAATATACCAGTAATGTTGTAAATGGTGCAAAGGTGACATTAAAACAATATCAAAGATGGTTGACACAGTATGCTCCTCACTTAGCAACAAATTCATTTACTGACATGGTCTTAGGAATGGAACTCCGTCGCTAAGTGAGGAGAGGTTGTATATGTCCTAGACATACCTATTTTAAAGTTTAATTGATAAATTATGCACAGTAAATAGAGAATTATCACATTTTCACTGATGGGAAGCACTTCACGGCTTCTCTTAGGCTTTGAAGAACTGCCAGCTTCTCTTGTTTTGCACTTTGGGGCCAGTATTATGCAAAGTTAAGAGGTATTTTTGGGCCACAGTAAATAGTGGATAACTGAAACTGCGGATGCTGAATCAGTGGATACGGGGGTTTTACTGTATTACAAATTTTGTTTTTATTTTTTTACTGCCTTAATGTAAATATTTGCTGCTGGAAATGGTTAACATTACACTGCTTTAATTACTTTCTTAATTATAACTGGTTTACTGACTAGTTTGTTCTCTAAGGCAGTAGGATTGGTGAGCTTGTTGAACCAATGGTGTGGCAGTACCAGGCAAAGAAGTTTGACCTTCCTGCAGGTATGTTTGTGAACTTCTGATTGGGCAGTAATAGTATATTAGGAGTAATAATAATAGTAATAATAATAATAATACAATATTCTATAATATGTTTTAAGAATTTGGAGATAGTAATATTAACAGTAGGAATACTGTAATAGTACTGTACAATAGTAAAAAAGAAAATAATTTTATATTGACCTGCGGTTTGAGAGAGGGATCCCCACTTCTGTAGATTGATGTTTTTCTGAAACTTTCAAGTATGGTCATCCTTGGATATCCCTCCACTGTTATAGTAAATCAGTTGTGCATACCCCAGTATATTATTTCTTCATTTATGCCAGCCTCAGGACAAGTGATGTTTCAAGAAGATATAATTTATGACTTTAGATTGTAGTATGTTTTAATTGTTAAAATAGAATATTCCTTGCAGATATATTTAATCGGTACTCGGCAGTGTTTGATGGCATATGGGTGGCCAGTGCTTTTAAGGGTGCAACTGGCAGCACTCAGTTCCTACCCCCAATCCAGCACCACATCAACAATCATTTGACCTGGATTAGTGTTTTATCTGAATACAAACATCAGTTTAAGATTTACCGAGGTATAGCTCTCACCGGCTGGCAGAGGTTAGTACAGTCTTGGGAGTCATGGTCATCATTATTATTATCCTGTTCTCTTTCATGGGAGGGCAAATTTTATAAAAACAGAAAGTAGAGATTATAATTTTTTTCTTTTGCTATAAATAAATAATTTGTACTTGTAATTAAAAAACCTCAGCCATACCATAATTAATAGGCTTATATTATTATAATGATTATAATAATATCCTTGGCTCACTCTGCCATGGTGGGAGACAGCTATTGAGGTAAAATAGAAATTACAGTACATACTTTAAAATAAACTATACTGAGCTGAACACCGGTATATTCATCTCCATATGTACATACATATAGATGATATTCCAATAACAACAATAAGAATATTAGCTAAATAAATTTGAATGTTGGTTTGTCATGCACAGGAAAGCATTTGCCACTCTACATAGCAAATCAAATGTATTAATTATTGAATAAAAGTAGGAAATTAAATAGTTATAGAATTTTAGAAGCAGAGAGTACTACTGTGTTGTAAATTTCAATACTGTATAGCAAATTTATCTGAACTTCTTTAATTATTACAAAATGCAATATTTTTCCTAGTTTTAATCAAACAAGCATTAGCACAATGCTATACTGTACTTATATTACAAGATAAAATTTAACCAAAAATCATTACTCCTCTTTTATTCAATGTTTGTTAGTTACATTAAGTTCTTTTGTGCACCAACAGATATGATCATTATGCTGTATTATGTGAATTATTACCAGTTGCTCTCCCCTGCTTATGTTTATGCTTGAGAGTAGCTACCCGCAATTCATTCACTGAGGCCGATCATGACTATGTATCTCAAAGGTTGGGTTTTCCCCATCGCGTTAACCTCGTGCCATTCCCGAGGTAAGGCTTCAGAAGTGAGGGGAAATTAGTGTTATAGCTTACATTTTTGTTAATAGAAAATTTGCATGTTTTTTCCTAATTTTAATACCTCATTTCCCCCCAAAAAAAAAATTCCAGTAAGTAGAGTTGACAACAAAATATGAAATATGTACTGCAAATTCATTTTTTAATCTCTGATGGATGTTGATACAATAATATAAAGTAAAAAATAAAGCAGATGAAACAGTACCAGGTAGTAGTCTTTTGTTTTCAAGAATATATTCAGTAACATGGGATATGGCATGAATTACAGCCAAGATAAAGTTGAAAATGACACAATGTGGGGCATGAGTTGTTCTGGTAGAGGGAGTGCTGACCACCACTTAATGTTAACCCAACTTCCCCAATATTTTCTCTCATAGATAGCTGCTTGGCTAGTGTTAAGCTACTTTTGTAATACATTGTTAAATTGTCTGAATTTTTTTATTGAAATAGACGGCTTCCCCCTTAAAAGTTTAAACCTAAATTAAATACTGCCTAGATGACATTGAATTTTTGTGTGTATGTTTTTTATTGCAGGTTAAGCAAATGCTTATTAAGGTGTAATTTTGCAATTGTTGTTAGAAGCTAAGACTGCAGCACATGTAATTTGTAGTAAACTAGGTATTACAAATGTGAGCATTGTTTTTAGTAGAACTATTATTATTATTATTATTATTATTATTATTATTATACTAATAATAAGCTTTATATTTACTATAGTTCTTGATGCTATTATATTTACTATAGTTCTTGATGCTATTTACATTTTGTACAGGCCCCAAGTTATAGAACAGTGCATGTCATTCCCTGGCCACAAGATCTTTGTTGGGGTACAGATGTGGTCAAACTTTTTATGCAAGTACCAAGCTATAAGTAACTCAGAAGGGTGAGCATTACAAAAGCTTTGTCCAAATAGATATATTTACTCTTCTGCTTTGATATTATTATTGTTGCCTTTCCAAAAACTTTCTTAATACATAGAAGTGTTACAGTACCATTTACTACAGCTGATTGTACCTAAATATCTAATGTGTTTTTTGTATCATTTGACTTTCTGCTTTTTAAGTGATGGTTCACATAGCAAAATTTGTTAAGTACTGTACCAGTATCAAATTCAAGAAATGTATTTTTTCAGAATGCTGGGCTGGTTCAGTGATTATCTGAGATCGAGGAATTTCACAAATCCTGTGCAAGTGGAAAATATAATGAACTCGATTACCGAGTGAGTGTAATTCTTATACATATATTTTTTTTTTAGTTTTCATTGGAATTAGTGTTTGCTGGATTAAAGGAGTACTCTATTGATAATTTTTTGTAAATTATTGTTCCTTCTCTGTACTGTAGTTCTTCTTCTCTTCTTTCAACGTACCAGCCGTATCCCACTGAGGTGGGGTGGCCCAAAAGAAAAAACTGAAGTTTCTCCTTTTAAATTTAGTAATATATACAGGAGAAGGGGTTACTAGCCCCTTGCTCCCGGGCATTTAGTCGCCTCTTACGACACGCATGGCTCGGAGAACTGTTCCATCCCCAGGATAAGAAAATAAACAAGACAAGATTGAAAGAAATAGAAACCAAGGGTGTTATATATATGCTTGTACAGTTGTTATGTGACCTAAGTGTAAGTAGAAGTAGCAAGACTTACCTGTAATCTTGCATATTTATGAGACAGACAAAAGACACCAGCAATCCTACCATCATGTAAACGATTGTATCTGAGTTATAGTGAGTAAATGACAGTTTGGGTAAAAACTGCACTTTAAGTAACGTACTGAAGGAAGTAGCTTATTCTTTAAATCATGATTCTCATCCAGTGAAATTAAAAAAAAAGTTAGGGCACATAAAATTTGGCATGCCAAATGGCAATTAGTTAAGACATTGCTATTAACCATTATCCCATTCACCATGTAAAGCATCTCTCTCTCACCTCTTCTTTGAATGACCCTTGAGGGTTTAGCCCTTTACATGAACATCTTCAAAATCCACTGGCTGTTGAGCATGTTTCCTTAAGTGACTAAGCATCCTTTACTCTGCCAGGTTTCACAGTTGTACAGTAGGCCCCCACATTACATGGTAGTTCCATTAATGAAAACTGCTTATGTGAAATCAGTGTTAAGAAAGTGAAGAAATTATGAGAAAAATAGGGTTAGGTTCCTGACACTTCCAGGAAGGTTATAAAAGATTACTTAAAACAATAATATAAAGATTATGAATATTACTTAATGGTTATAATCATAACCATGATTTTTAGAGGTGGACTGGTAAGCCAGTGGAAGTCTGTGGTCAGATGACCCGAAGCTCCAGCTGTGGGTCATCATACACTGAGACCTGCATCAGGAAACACTTGTCCTGTTTCCTGACAAACATTGTACCTACCTACCTACCTAAAACAATTTTTTTTTCTTTTCTCAAATTCTCTTATAGGTTTAGTGCTCCCCCTTGATTATAATAATAAATTTCCTCAAATTCTATTTGGTGTTGCTTATAAGTTTTGATGTGTGGAGAAGGTTGATCTGGCCCTGGTGGATCAAAGCTGTTGTTAAACTGAAGTGAATGATTGTGATTTTTGGGCTGGTTGTGGTTTTTGTGTTACTTGATAATGGAAAACAAAATTCCATTAGTTTTATTAATAACCTGAAGTTTGAACAACTGTTAAGTGAGAGTCTACTGTACTTAAAAATGCACAATTTTATCCAATATTAAATAGTACATTTTTTTTTTTGGTGCCACATTTCACTGAGCTACAGTAATATAAACCTGACCTTACAAATTTTATACATTTTAGGGTTCTGGAAAATCTAACTGAACTCAAGACTCATCTGATTCCTTGGTTGATGGAAGTGTATTTTGAAGATACTGTGGAGGAGTGGATTGGCTCTTTCATTGAGCCTCTCCTTGAGAAGCTCAGAAGTGTAATAGAGGAGTGCAAGAAGCAAATTCTTATTGGTGGCAGAGTCAGAGACTACAAGAAGATTGAATATTAATGTAAAGGCAGAAAAATATAATCAGGTTTATTCCAAGTTATTTTCGGGTGCTGTCCTGTATTCAGCAAGAATTTGTGCAAATATAGTGAACTAAATCAAGTGGATGTTTTAATACCTGTGAGATATTAATGTACCTATAAATGCTTGAGACTTGGTAATACAGCTAATTTTATCAGCGAAATGACCACCATAATATATATTCTACATATTTATTCGTTGTTATTATAGTATTATTTTATCACAGTATTATTATTATTAGTTATTATAGTAAAATAGGTATTTTTAATTCTGTTTGTGTGTTATTTATGCCAGTTAAAGTATGTGAAGCTGAGTAGGTAAAAGACTAGAGAAGAGGAATTAAAAATATTGAGTCTTTTCAGTTTCAAGACTTAAATCAAAATTTATTTTTGTACATGTATCAAGAATTATATTAGGCCTTTAACATTTATAGTATTTATTTTTAATATTTGGTACATTATAGGAACTTGTGTACATTTTATTGACTTTTTCCTTAATTTATTAAACTGTACTGAATTTAATAATTTTTTATTATAAGCCCTTGTGTCTGAGGGCAATGTATGGTGTGGATATTATGAAGAGAATTCTTAACTTGGAGATTAAAAGGAGGTGCAGGATTACTAAGAATATTATCCAGAAGGCTAGAGAGGGAATGTTGAGGTGGTTCAGACATTTGAAGAGGATGGAATAAAATAGGATGGAGGGATGATGAGGTAGGAGTTGTCCTAGAAGAGGTTGGAGAGCTGTGGTTAAGGAGGTTTTTGTGTGTGAGGTGCTTAGACATCCAGCAAGTGTGTGTGTGCATGCTAGATAGGGGTGAGTGGAGGAGCATGATTCATATGACTTGAAGTCCTGGAGATGGGAAGTACAGAGCCTGCACTCTGAAGGAGAGGTGAGGATATTTGCAGTTTTGAACTATAGTATCAGCATTCTTGGCAAGACAGTGATGGAGTGAGTGTGTTTCTTCCTTTTCAGGTCACCCTACTTTGGTGGGAGACGGCCGGTGTGTTAAAAAAAAATGTATGTTGCTGTCAGTTGGTACAGTACCATTATCTGAAAATTTTGCTGTACTACAGTGTACTACTTTGAATATCATAAAAGGACATCATATTTGTCTTACATAATATTCAGAAGTGTAAAGATACTTCAGTCTGGTAAAAGGCCTCTGCCTTGGGTCATCATCTGCACATCAGGAAACAGTGAAACTAGAAGTGAGTTAATCATATCACGACGTGAGGATAGATTAAACGATACTGTACTATGTATTTATACTTTTTTTAATATTTTGTTAGAACATTTTAAGGAACTTCAAGAAAAAAAAGCACAATTTCTTCATTCTTTGCCATTGCACTACTAATTTTTCACATATATAGCAGTATGTGTATGATAGCCAACTCTTTCCGGTCAAAACATCAATAAGTATCATATCATGTAAAAGATAATTTATCAATTTAAATAAATCTAAACAATAGACCAATGAAATGTATCTTTATACATCTTATTTTCAATTACTTTTATTTTACCACATTTGCCCTTTCAGTGAAAGGAATTGAAACTACCATCATCTGCAGTTGTATTGAACCTGATAAACTCCCATTCCCCAGATGCTGTATGACCTTTACAGGTTTAGCTCTTACTAACGAATATAAATATTTACAATAGAGAGCTCTCATGATTAGTGTTAACCCCTTGACTGTCGCAACCCCAAACCCTGAGGTGTCTCCTGGTGTCGCAAAATTTAAAAAAAAAAAAAAATTACTTTTTCTTATGAAATGACAGAGAATCTTTTCCCTATTGTAATGACATCAAAAGAATGAAATCTGATGGAAAACTGATGATTATGCTCTTGCGAAGTTAGCGACCTCGGCGATATTTACGAATCGGCAATTTCGCCCACTTTGAGCCCTATTTTTGGCTAATTCCATTGTTCCATAGCTATTTCTTTAGAACTCCATTTTTTCTATCAATTGAGCACAAGAAACTGCCCATTTTCCAATTTCAATTACCCAATAACATGGTCAGAAATTTGCAATTTGGCCAATTTCACAAAAATTAAAAAATATGACAATTTCAAAATAGGGTCCAGAATGAACAATGTAGACATTCCTGGCTCTAAAATAACATTTTCTTTGTTAATCAGTCACATCTCCAGGCCCCTCTGATATTACTCTTTGTTTTCTATTTTGAATTTTTATTCAAACAAAAAATAGAAGATTTACTGTTATGCAGACTACTGCAATACTGTAATAATTGTATAAATAATGTCAACCCATTCATGACCATATTAGAATGGCTACTTGGACATTTATTGAAAATGACATCATTTGTTTACTTTCGAACATCGGCAAAAATCAAACATTTCTCCTGCTTTGAGCTCCATTTCAAGGTTCTTTTTCATAGTAAAACCAATCAAAATCACCTCTATTTCTATAATGTTTTCCATTCTATCAATTGAGACCAAGAAAACGAGAATACAACCATAAATACTATATGAAAATAGACCACAAAGTCGGCATTTTAATTAAAAAATGGTCGAAGTTTTTTTTTTCTCATGCACTGCGTGCTGCAGGATTCTTTTATATGGTGCACACTGACCGCACAGACCCATTCTCTCACATGTGGGCCTACCAGCTTTCTCCTGCTTGATTTGAAGCTACTAGAATTTATGAGTATACATATATATGTCAAACACGGTAGCTCATAAGACGTATATATATGACCGAAACAGTCAAATAGTTAATATACCAGAGTATTATTTGATCTGTAGAGATATTGTGAATATCATGCAAAGAAATTGAAGCATAAAAATTTGAAGGCAATGTGGGGTCACCAAGGGTATAATTTAGAAAACTGAAAGGAGTTGAGGTGGTTTGGGCATTTAGAGAGTAGGAGAGGAATAGGATGATGTACTGGGTGTATAGATGTGGGGTAGAAGGGATAGGGATCGTCCTACAAATTGTTGGAAGAATTGGGCAAAGGCGGCTTTGAAGTTTAGTTGCTTGAGTATCCAGCAAGCTTGTGTGTGTTAGGAGTGAATGGAGACAACTGGTTTTTAATGGACGTGATGTAATGTGTGTGTGTGTGTGTGTGTGTGTGTGTGTGTGTGCATGCGTGCGCAAAGTAACATTTACAAAAGATTCAGGAGTAACCAGGCTTAAGTCCTGGAGGTGGGAAGGGCAGTCAGTGTATTACAACCCAGGATTCCAAATGGCCTGTTATCCTGGGTGTAAAGGGAGCAAAATAAACACAGCAGAAAAGTTTTGACTTATATTATCCTTCACCAATTTAGAACAGCAGTATGTACACTATATACACTATGTACAGTGATAGGTATTAGTGCACTCCACGGTAAGCAAGGCAGAATAGAAGCCACTAGAGAGCAGACCGTGCTTCAACCAGCTCTAGAATGGGAATGACAAGGGCAGACAGGAGAGGGGTACCCACATAACCTATGCAATTGCCAAAACCATCTTCTTATTGGCTGGAACCTGGTTACTGGTTGAACGACGGGGCCCCATCGTCAACCCTCAGTTACCTGGTTCGCTGGTTGGGGGAGATAGCCTGTGAATGAGGGTGTGTACATGCGCCGAATAAAGGTTACGTACTCTTTGCATGCCACACCCCCACCCCGAGAAGGCTCAGGATTAGGCTGCCACCTCCCAGTGGTAACCGTGCCGCCATGGCATGGTTACCACTGGGAATGTGTGGGAATGTTGCAGTTGGTGTTATCTGAATTGTGATGTCAGCACACTTCTGGCACAACAGCCACTGAATGAATAGTGGTGAATGTGTTACCTTTTTTTAGGGCACCCTGTCTTGGTGGGAGACAGCTGTTGAGGTAATAAACAATATGTATTTATACATACAGTATCTGTCTTTATACTATTTTCTAATGTCGTTCTACTCCAGAACTTTCTTCTGTGGTGACCACAGTAAACATATTTCAGACAGCCTAATCTAAACATAATCTTTAGGGAACCAGTCCTGTTGGTACCTACCCACTTCCCCATCTATTATTTCATTGTATGATGAAATTACATAAACTATTACTGTTTGTTCTCACTCTCTCATTCTGTGATGTGGTTGCTTACCAACCCCTTGTGCTTCTTGGCTATTTATTATAAATGTCTGTATTCAAGATCAACATGATCATTTAATTGTTTTAGTAGCCTAAAATTTAGATTTGTTTTTTTTCATGTCTTTCTGGAGTTTATCTGGAGAGAGTTCCGGGGGTCAACGCCCCCGCGGCCCGGTCTGTGACCAGGCCTCCTTAGGTCAGTGTCCCAGGATGCGACCCACACCAGTCGACTAACACCCAGGTACCCATTTTACTGATGGGGAACATAGACAACAGGTGGAAAGAAACACGTCCAATGTTTCTACTCTGGCTGGGAATCGAACCCAGGCCCTCACCGTGTGAAGCGAGAGCGTTAACCACCAGGCCACCAGAGCCACTTTGGTTTCATATTCATAATTAAGAGTTAGCATGGCTATATATGTATTACCATATCTTTTCTAAACATGGTAAAAAATATTCTCATTCATAATCCTTTAACCCTTTCAGTGTCTTGATCCCTGAAATTAAACTAAATAATGTAGATCTTAATATTACGGATTGCGAAAAAGATTTAGGAGTTCTGGTTAGCAGTAATCTGAAACCAAGACAACAGTGCATAAGTGTTCGCAATAAAGCTAATAGAATCCTTGGTGCTTCATATCAAGAAGGCAAAATAAAGGGAGCCTAGGTGTCACTAACCTATAACCAAAACCTTTCTTATGGCCTCCGTTTATGTTATGCCTGTCACCCCGTTTTGGTACCTTATTATCCATGAATGGGGGGTTTACAATTCTCGGAATAAAGGTTGTTTGCAGCAACCACCCGAGAGCTCAAAGCTGATCCCATGTAAACCCTTCCCATGGAGGTACCACTAATGGGCCCTGAATTTATGGACACTTCTAGAAAGACTGAATAGGGGATTATTATTATTATAAATGGGAAGGTAACAGGAATAATAAAGCAGATGAATAATAGTGGTGAAATATCTACCTTTTAGGCACCCTGCAATGGTTAATGTTGAGTAAAAACAATTAGTAAATTTATAATAAGTACTGTCTTTATAGATTTGAATGGTCGATACATACTCCAAAGTATCTTATGAGTGCCAGTAAAAATATTTCAGAAGCTATTAAAAAATCTTAGAAGTTGGATAAATACATGAGTGGATTGGGGGATGATGAATTAAAACCTATACGCTTGTTTCTCTCCAGTCGTGTGGTTTCCCCCGTGTTCTCTTTTAAATGTCTATTAAACTGACATAATTTTGACCTAATTAGGTTTTTTTTTGGTTCATATCATTGGTTAGCGGTATAATTTGACCATTCTTCAGCATGGAACATATTCTCATTCATTCCTTTCTTTCATGTTCTTATCTATGTATTAAAAATACCGACAGTGTCACTATTTTTAAACTTAAGGAATTAGGCAGGCACAAAGTAAGGGGCTCTTGATCCAAGGAACTGGACATATCTTCCCCTTTCTTGGATCAAACTTGATTGCCTCCCTTTCCCTGGAGACTGTATGACTCTACAGGTTTAGCTATTCTCCACATTTCAATAATTTCAGAATGATTTTCACAGAATTATTGCAACACTGACTTTTCATTTTGGCAGAACAGCTGCTTCTCAATAAATCTCTGCCCCATTCAAGTGGAGTCCATTCATGGTGAGAAGCTCTTCATCCCATGACTTTGAGCTATCTTTCCCTTCCTTGGATCAAACCTGAATACCCCCATTTCCCAGGTGCTGTATGACCCTTATGGATATATCTTTTTTTTTTTCTTGAATATAGTATTAAGGCAAGATGGCAAAGCTGTATCTAAATAAGCATGATGTAGCATCTTATCCGAGGCACTACATCAGTGTATAGTCTCTCAGGGAGACTACTTGGAGGGAAACAGCTTCAACTGGGAGGTTAGGTAAGCCTATATATTTTTTTTTGTACCAGTACCTGGTATAACAGATTCCCTAAAGTGACTGTAATTCAAACACTGCTAAAATGTCTTCTATCAAGGAATGTGCTGTACTGTAACAACTATTTTAAGTGCTGCGTTGGGTTCAAGCGGTACATTTATAGAGGAGTGACCCCTCGAGGAAGGTTTCTTGATGCTGGTGAGGGGCTCTTGATCTAGGGAATTGGATCAGTGCTCCAGTTCTCTGTATTGAGCCTGAATACCTTCCATCCCCCTCCCCCCAGGCACTGTATAATCCTATGGGTTTAGTGCTCCCCCATGATTATAGTAATATAGAGGAGTGCTCAACCTATGATGGTCATGAAGTGCCTGGAAACTGGGAGGCAATCAGGTTCAATCCAAAGAGGGGAAAGATGAGTCCAATTCCTTGTTTTTTTTTTTTTTCTTTTTTTTTGGGCAATATAGCTGG